CCATGCTGCTGTCATATATTCTAAGTAAGGGTTGCCTCGACCACTTCCACCTCCACCTCTGGATAAGACTCCCTTGTTTTTCTGGGGTTTTTTGGATTTCTGGGCCCGCTTCCTTTATTTTGAGATGTTGCTTATTAACAAATATCCTCCCAGCGCATTTTGTCTTTCAGTTTCTTCACAAGAGAAAACAAAATGTTCAAGTTCTTTGTCAAGTTCAGGGAAGTCAAACTGCAGTTGGAGAGTGATATAATTTTAAAATGACCAGGTGGCCTTTCTTTTCACTACATCAATATCTTTGGGGTAAACTGTAACCCAATGTTCATAGCAGCAATGGCCACAGTTGCCAAACTGTGGAAAGAACCAAGATGCCCTTTGGCAGATGAATGGATAAAGAAGATGTGGTCCATATATACAATGGAATATTATGCCTCCATCAGAAAGGATGAATACCCAACTTTTGTATCAGATGGACGGGACTGGAAGAGATTATGCTGAGTGAAATAAGTCAAGCAGAGAGTCAATTATCATATGGTTTCACTTACTTGTGGAGCATAAGGAATAACACGGAGGACATGGGGAGATGGAGAGGAGAAGTGAGTTGGGGGAAATTGGAGGGGAAGACGAACTATGAGAGACTGTGGACTCTGAGAAACAAACTGAGGGTTTTTAGAGGGGAGGGGGGTGGGGGTTTGGGTGAGCTTGGTGGTGGGCATTAAGGAGGGCACATATTGCATGGAGCACTGGGTGTGGTACATAAAAAACGAATGCTGGAATACTGAAAAGAAATAAAATAAAATGAAAAAATAAATAAGTAAAATGACCAGGACGTTACAGTTTGGCTCTTTTAAAGCAGTGTTTTACAAAGAGCGATTAGGTGGCTCCATTTCACAAATGAGATAGATGGGCTGTGACATTGACTGTGTTGCTTAAGATGCTGCGAGGAAGTAACAGAAGCACCAGGTATAGGATTGAGGTTGAAATAACAATTTCCTTACCACCTTTTTCTCCTACTTTTTTGAGGGTGTTGTTAATCTCAGTGGAATTTTGACCTTAGTAATGACTATAGAATTAGGTATGATTCCTTTCCTCCTTAATCTCCATGTTAAAAAATTATATGTGTGGGTGTGAGTAACTGGAATGGGATTATGAGTGGCACAATACAAAATGATAGACCTGACTCATGAAAACTAATCCACTTGCAAGGACTAAGACAATGTACCATAAATTATGATTATGTAACAAGTCATACACAAATATTTGCAATCTCAATTACTTCCTACTTACAAAAAGGGCTTGTGATGGAAATCACAGTCATGGAAGAAAGTAGAATTTCAATAAATAGGACTGGTTTAATATAGATGTTTTATACAATGTCTAAATGAAATATATACCCATTTAAACAGATAGGTAAGTGAGTCTGATATGGCAGATTCTAGTGGCAAATAGGAATTCTTATAAAGGAAATAAACGTTGAAATTTGGATATGGCTAAAAATTGTATTTGTTTCTAAAATAATTTTACTTTGAAATATTCTTTTTTAAAAAGATTTTATTTATTTATTTCAGACAGAGAGACAGAGTGCACAAAGGAAGGGGAGGGATGGGGGAGAGGGAGAAGCAGATGCCCCACTGACCAAGGAGCCCAACATGGGGCTGGACTCCCAGGACCCTGAGATCATGACCTGAGCCAAAGACAGATGCTTAACCACTGAACCTACTGACTTGAGCCACCCAGGCACCCCTACTTTTAAATATTCTTTATGTTGTTAATTGCAGCCCATTATAATCACAGCCAGTAGGAAATAAAGCAAATGTTCCACAAGAAAAGATGGGTTAAATAAACTATAGTATACTCATTCAGTGGGCTGGTCTGCTGCATATAAAAATTATTTTGGAGGAAAAAAATAACATAAAAAGTTGTTTATGAAAAAAATTTAAATAACTTAAAAGAAATGTTGCTTATGATCCAAAGAAGAAAATCTGGCTACGAATTGCATAAGTTAGACACATTCCCAATTAGAATGTAAGTTCAATAGGTTAGGGAGTGTCCATCTTTCCTGTCTGCCCAACACAGTGTTTGGTATGATATAAGGATTTAAATTAATACATGCTAGTGTATACAAAATGATTCCATTAGAAAAATGTATGTTGTCATAGAAAAACTCTAAGAATATGTATTGAAATGTAATTTATTCTGAGTGGATTTTTTTTTGCCATTTGCTATTTTAAATTTTTATAATGAAATTATATTTTTTTATAATCAGAAAACAATAAAAAATAAGTTAAAAATATATCTTTGCATAGATTTTCCTGGAGCAGTCCCTATAAAATACCCCATTTCTATATTTAGCAGTTTACAGAGCTGGCTGGCTTTTCCTTAAATCTTGGAAAGCAGCTTATTTTCTTAAATCCTCACATTTTATCCAAGCTTATCTCTCACTGAACAATCACACGCAATCTGTTCTGGATTGTGATCAGTAAATGAAGCGAAAATCAAAATGAGGTAACTATTATATGCTGTCTCTCATACATTTCTCAGGTAGCTGTGATTTCATTCTTTCTGAAATAACAGAACCAGAAGCCTTGGTGCTCCCTGGTAGAAATCAAGTTCACAGGAACAGTTCTCTCTTCACAGTCTTCACAAGCCACTGATTTGAGGAGATGAAAACTGGCCAAAGTCCCAGGGGCTCATTCTGAATGCTAATAATTCTCTTGAGCAGCAAACATATTTTAGATATTATGGAAGAGTGTAAAGACCATTTCTAGACATTAACAAAAGCTACATTTGATTGGCTAACAATTGTGCATTAATGCTCCTCAGGAGGAACGCCGAGTGTATGGGTAGTGTGGTAGAGACCTATTCTTCTAGCCTAGACTGCCAAATGTATTCAGGGATCCATTTGATTTGAAATTGTGAAGCGAATATGTGCAGGGGAAGCTTTAGACATCCTGAATGGCATAGTTCAAAGTAGAAGAAAAACAGTCATAGCTGAAGAACCAGAGAGTTAGAAGCAAACAGTGTAGATTTGTTCTGTTCATTTATAGATTTGTCTGTTTTTTTTTTTTTAACATCAGTTATATACAGAGTATTGCAGAATCAGAAGTATTAACCCAACTGTAGTGCTTTGCTCAAATAATAGCTACACATTCTCAAAGAACCACCCAGGATATTAACCAGTTCTGTATTTTGAAAATATAATCCTACAAAATTAACTATTCCTTTTAAGTCAAACTTTCAAACTATTAGATAAATAGTTTTAAAATGTATTTATGGTCTATCTACAATTATATGGAGAAGGGCTTTAATAAATTATATTAGCTAAATTTGGGGCAGTTTCTTAGAAAAATATAATCCTTGAAAACTTTTGAAAGAATTGCCGAAGTTGTGTTAAGAAAATAGAATGAGGAGAAGTGAGTTGGGGAAATTGGAGGGGGAGATGAACCATGAGACACTGTGGACTCTGAGAAAAAAAACTGAGGGTTTTGGAGGGGAGAGGGGTGGGAAGTGGGATGAGCCTGGTGGTGGGTATTTTGATGTGGTACATAAACAATGAATTCCGGAACACTGAAAAGAAATTTAAAAAAATAAATAAAAATTTAAAAAAGAAAATAAAATGAGGGGGCACCTGGGTTGCTCAGTCGGTTAAGCCTCTGCCTTTGGCTCAGGTCATGATCCCAGGGTTCTGGGATCAAGCCTCACATCAGGCTCCCTGTAGAGCAGGGAGCCTGCTTCTGCCTCTGCCTGCTGCTCCCCCTGCTTGTCTCTCTCTCTCTGATAAATAAATAATTTTTTAAAAAATCTTTAAAAAAAAAAGAAAAAAGAAAAACTAAACAGTAGAATGAAGTATCCCAGATACTTAGAGAAGTTATGATAAAGATGGAATTTGCCTTAAAATCTTTTGCACCAAAAAGGAAAATAAGTTTTCTAGTACCTTATGTCTATTCACAGCAAAGAACCAAAATCAATGTTATTGGTAAATAAGCAGTTAGTTACTTATCTCTTCACTTGGCACAAAATAATTCAAATGATTTTGGTTCACTTTATGGATAAATAAATGGCAATACACTGAAAGTAACACACCATTCAATTTATTTCCCTTAATTCAATGCCAGAAATCAAAATAAGAAGGGGGCTATTTCATACTTCCTACTGAAGGCTGATCTCTAAATGGAATTTTTTCACAAAATACTTAACACAAAAGCATGCACACTCCCAGTCTACAAAATGAATGCTGATCATTGGAGGTTTTCTACTTAACATACATTTATTTAATACCCACTAGACCTAATTTATTTGGTTCAACCAAAGTTACTATGGGATTACTGTGGGTTACATAAATTTCATTCAATTTTCACTCAATGCCATGTCTGGAAACATTTTTAGCTGCTTATAAATTGAGAGTCCAACCCTTCATGCATGTTCTTTTCCTTCTTTTGCTATCTGCTTTTCAGAACTCAGATAGTATAGTGTATAAACTTCTACTTTTACAGCTATTGCATTTATTATTTATGAAAGCTACCAGTTCACTATTGCTGATAGGCTGTGTACTCACTGACAGCAGGAACGTCATTTTGTATTTTTTTTAACTACATAACACCTAATAAAGTGCTTGGCACAGGTAGGAAGTCAATAAATATTTGGTGAATATAGTAACTAATTAATTAAATGCCTCCTCAAAGCTATAAAACTATAACTCAACTACAAAATACAAGATCCTATTATTGAAGATTGATGTATTAATTTAATATTAGGATAGGAGCAAAGTTTAGATTTTCTGCTCTTGGAGTCAACAATCTATGAAACATAATACTGAAATGAGATAAAAGACTTGGTTGGAGATGCACAGGGAGGTTCTTCATGGGCATCTCAGTTGTGTGAGTGTCCATAAACCGCCTTGATGCTCATGTTCTTCCTTACAAGGGTTCAACTCTGTTAGGAAATCTGGTACTTGACTAGCACTAAGGAATAAATGTTTCTCAAATTATTGTCCTAGCTTTATTCCTCAGGTAAATACAAATATATATTTATAAAGCAAGGACGATCTAGGAGATGTAGTTACAAAGTCCTTCCTTATGGAAATTGTTTTTCTGTCATATGCACGCCTGTCACTCTTATATATGGAGTCAAATTCTTCTGGGACCTTAAACTCTTGCCTGGATGTAAATCAGTCAACTTTCAAATCTTTTGTAATCCAGGAGACTTGACTGGCTGACTCCCAGTTTAGTCTAGTACTGTCAAACTGATAGTGAAGAGTTGTTTGTTGCTGTTGTTGTTTTTAACATAATCTGTTCCCAAACAAGTATTATATATTGGGAATTTCTCCTCACATGTATATGCCCCAGTAAAACAAATTAAATATAATATACACAATGGGGAAAAAAATCCTTGAATATGTGTCGATGACATGGTTATTCTCCAGAATGATTCCACCAACATCCTCTCCTAAGGATTGCCTTCTCTTTATCTGAGATGAATTTGTGCTGGGACTGCCTGTGGATCTTTCTTGTACGGAGTCCTCTTCTGAGTGTAGAGAAAAGGAAGTCTGGTCCATTTCAGTCTTGCTGTCATGGTAACAACCATCGAAGGCCATGGCTTGAACTCTATCAATATTATACATTCCAGAAGGCTGACAAAAAGACTTTTGTTAGTAAGTCATGAATATGGTTTTGTATGTAGGAATTACAGTAAAAGTCTAAACACTCAGATTTTTAAAATAGTTCCAAAAAATGCTTGTTTATTTTAGAGAATAGAATTCCAGTTTTGTTTTTCGTATCTGGCTAAAAGTCATTTAAATAATAAATGGAAAACATCATCACAGAGATTTGTTTTTAATAAGGATTTAGCAAGGTTTATTATTATCTCTATAGAGATATTTGAACTTTATACAAATAAATGTTTCACAATTATAATGTCAATGTCTTCTAATTTAGTTCTGGCCTGGTAGACTGGAACACTCAAATGTTTCCCCAGAAAGGAATACTGTTTCAGGTATCCCCTTTGTTTCTGAGTAGTATGAATTATTTGCCCTAAGTTTAAGTTGAAATTGAATATGATTTATCAGAAGAGCAATATAAGCCAGTTGGATTTGCTTTTCAACATATTTTTCTCTTTAGAGAAAACATAGCAATACACCCAGTCAGTGTAGGGTTGTTTTTTTTTTGTTTGTTTGTTTTTTGTTTTTTTCCCAAAACCAGAACAATATCATCTGGTGATCCATTTATGCTTAAATTTGGAGTACGGGACAGAAATTATTTTAGCTGCTCTTTTTAAATGCAAATTGGCCAAGTCTTCCCATTTTTGCTGGGAAGTACCTATAAATGATACTATCATGGCCCAATTAAACAACTTGAAACTGGCTTATTTCTCAGAATGAGAGAATTATCAGTGCTTTCTGGCTCTAGTGCCTGATTGAATCTGAACTACCATTTTTCTTTAAGGTTTTACTTTGAAGGAGATCTTGGTTCTTGCTGATACAGAACAGTGTCTACACAGCAGCTGTTACTAATTTCTTTCTGAGAAAATTGAATCACTTCTTGAACTATAGTGAATTTAAGAAACAAACAAATATGAACAGGCTACCACTGGATGAAATTATTTGGAATTCAAATTGGAGGCTACAGAGTGAGTTCTGCCAGAACATGTATTTGGTTCATAGCAATTAAAAACCCAATATTCTACTGAATTCAAGAGACAGAGAATATTTTTTGTAGTCAGTAAACTAACCAAAGACCCATATTCAAGTTATGTTGTCCTTTTTTTTTTGTTTTAGCCATAGAAACTTTTCATAGTAAAATGAAAATGGATCAAGACTCAAAAACTAACTTCAGAGAGCAGAAATAACATTAATAATACTTTGAACTCTGGATCTGAGGATAGAATAACTAATACAGTCTATTCAGTGGTTTCACTATAGTCACCCAGAACACTGCTGGCTTATCCTACTGTACATTATGATAATTTAGAACAATTATATAATTGATTAAATCTTACAGTATACAATTTACCAGTAAGGTGCTAATTTCCACAAATGTGTAATTTAGTTGTTCTAGTAGAAACAGTTTTAGAATGGGTCTTTAATTTTTCACACTAGTGAAACCACCTCCTTCAAAGGCACAGTTATCTCAAAGAAGTTTCCTACCTGCCATTCCTATATTTGTGGGGCAAAATGAAAGAGCGCAAGATTTGAAGTCCGAAGAAGTGATGCCAAACCTAACGCCACTACTTCCTAGCTCTGTGTTTTAGGTTGTCTCCTAAACATCATTCTTAATTTTCAGAATGTTGGCATTTCTCTCCTATTTATCTCACAAGGCAGTTGTAAATGGTGTAACAAATGGGTATAAACTTTTGCAAACTATAAAATGCTACACAAATGCTAAGTTCTTTTTGCGGTTAGTGCCCAGAGCAGAGGCTCTGAAAGAACAGCAGTTTTAACAAGGATAGTGGGACTGGCTGTCTGAGATGAGAAACAGTTAAAGGGATAGGATGCCCTGGTGAGGCGCAGAGTGGAAAGACATGTCTATAGTTTTGGGGGATAACCAGTGACACTTCTCTCCTCTATACCTGAGTTTTAGAGAGAGAAAGATGTAGGGGCCAGACAGATAGAGAGGATGACATCAGCTTTGTTGTTGATAAAGCAGTGGGGAGGAAGTGCCTCAGATATGTGAGCAGGAGGTCTCACTAATACTTCATCACTGTACTAAACCTACTTATTCTTTTGGTCACTGGTGAAGCTAGACAATTCAGGACTCACCTTGTAAAGACAGGGAAGGTACTGCCTAGTAGTTTCCAGAGGCTGGGGAAAGGGGAAAATGGGGAGTTGTGTAATGGCATAGTGTTTTAGTTTTGTCAGATGAAGAAGTTTTGGAGATTGCTTGCACAACCAGGTAAGTATTCTTAACACTACTTACAAACAGTTAAGATAGCAACTTCTACATTATATGGATTTTACCCCAATACAAAAAATCTTCAAAAACATATGATGTTTATTAATTCGAAAGATTTTCTTCTTAGTGGTATACAAGAAGAGTTTGTACAACCCTATCTAATGAAAAAGGAAATTCAGTAGTGTGAACACATATGTTCTGTGGCCGGCGGGTGTGGGGAGATGTAGACAAGTTTGGAGTCAAAAGACTAGAGAGAGGTGGGCCTGGATTATTAAAGTGCCTCTTACTTAGGTTAACCTCTTCCCACGTAAAACAAAACAGAACAACAACAAAATTCTTTTCCTCATCACACATTTTTTCTCTGTCACCTTTTTTACTTCATGGATTATCTAAGTCATGACTATTTGCAGTGTGGGTAATGGACCAACAGCAGCTGGGGCTCATTAGAAATGCAGACTCACTGATCCCACACCCCAGATCTACTGAACAAAAATCTGAACAAATCCCAGGTGATGTGTACACACCTATTACTGCATACTTCTCTAAAAGTTCCTGGTTTCCTCACACGTGCCAAACCGTCACCGTGGGTATGTATGTGGCAGGGACACATACTCACACGTTGTCAACAAAAGAAATGGAAGCATCAGTAATAAAGCAAAATCAGCTCCTATTACAGCTTTAACTCAAAGGATATATAATAGAAGAATGAAGTAGCATTACAGGAGATCTGAATTGCAATTCCCTCTCTCTTGGCTGTGAATCTTTTGGCAAATCACTTTCCTTCACTCAAACTCTGCTGCTTCATTTTAAAAATAGAGATACTAATCTCTAGGCCTACCTCATGGAGCTGATATGAAGGTTTAATTTGAAAAGAGGCTATAAAACACTCTGAAAATAAGAAATGCTCTCACTACAAGTGTAACAAATATTAAATAATGTTTTGGGCGTGTATAATTGTGCTTATAAGAATTTCTTAAGCCAATATGAATATATTACATTAAAATTATGTGCATATCTGTGTGTATGCGCGCACACACACACACATATAGTCTCAAGTGTAGGCTACAAAGAAATTGATATGATCAATTAGGTTTCTGAAGTACAGTATCTTATATCAGTTCTCATAATAACAGCGAACTTGTGCCCCAGTCTTTTGTGAAATGAAGCAGGAAGATGTCAATCTATCCATATTTATTAAACAATGGCTCAAGAAACACATGATGACATTTAGAACCCAAAAGACACTTTTTATTCCCAGTATACTGTGGAGAGGAGAACCTCTCTTTATGTTCTACCACTCCTCCAAGTGACAAGAAGAGAAACAGAAATCCCAGCTCTGGTGGAGAGAAATATATCATTTAGGGATTGAGAGCACAGCCATTGGAGTGAGAGAGAGCCAGAAACAAATCCTGATTCCTCTTGTGCTGTGTGACCTTGGCCAAGTTACTCCCTATCTGCTCCCATTTCCCCTCTGTAAAATGAAGGTGATATAGAAAGATATAACCTCTTGGGGTTACTCAGAATTAAATGACATACTGTATGGTAGGTGGTTAGTATGATACCAATACATTACATGGTAGCTCTTCTCATCATTGTCATCATCATCATCACCTACTTGAAAGGTATAGTTTGCACATCAACACTTCTTTTCAAAGGATAGAGTCAATGGAGAGGGCACACTGAGAGAAATTCCTCACACAAAAAAACTCCTGGCTAAGGTGAGTAAGGATGCTGAGGAAAGTAGCCAGCACAGATAGAATAAGGTTCAATATTAAATCCTGTAAACTTGTATCTGGCCAAGGCGTGGAGACTTAATAAAAGGGCTTACAACACTGTCAGGAGAGGATTATAGGTAAAGATAGTCTTTTTCACATTCCAAAAGCCAGGCAGTACCTTCCCTGTCTTGTTGGAATGTTTCCGCTCTTCCATGGTGGTGAGGTAGTTCACAGCTGCATACTCAATGACTGACAGGAACACAAACAGGGAGCTGACCCACAGGTACACGTCCACGGCCTTGATGTAGGACACCTGGGGCATGGAGGGGGTCATGCCAGAGATGATGGTGGACATGGTCAGCACTGTCGTGATTCCTGCCATTGGAGAGTAGCGACAAGGTCAGAGACATAACCATTCCGTTCTGGGATCTGGTGCTGGATTATACCAGTGGATGTATTTGCCCACAATATCTGGTGAGCAAGGTTGGGAGGGGGGCAGGAATCCCTGCACATTACCCTCATACACACCATGAGCCTTAGCAAGAAGCTCTCCTTGGATTTGTCTTTCCATCTTTTTCTTGCCCTTACCCCAACTGTCCGTAGTGTTTCCTTCCCTCCATGGAAGGACTTCACAGGCTCATACATGTCTCTAAGGATACATTCCTTTGTCTCCGTTGGGCCTCTTTAAACCAACCCAGAAAAATAAAAATGTGTTCAATTTTAAAAATCTCCTGGGAAGAAAATTATAAAACCTTTCCTACTACCCTTTCCCATCATTTTACACTTTTCCTGTTAAAGAAATTGTCTTTGAGTCAGTCTTTTATCTTTCATTCATCAGGGAGTCATCTTGTCATGTTTCATATTTTTCTTTCGAATAGAATACTTACGAGCCATCAGTACTGCTCTTATGCTGTCCTTTGTTACTGAAACTATATTTCAATTGAGATTTAGAATGGAAGTGTGCTGGCAGAGACTCAGTTCAGTGTAAATACTTACTACGAACCTGTGAAATGCCAGTTACTCTCCCTTTCCCTCCCGCTTCTTCTTCCCTTCCCCCTCCCTTTCTCCCTTTCCTTTCTTTATTCTCTGGCATAAGCTACAGAGGTGATGAGATCAGCGTTCTGGGGGACAACGGAGAAAGACTGACTCTGAGATTTCCTTAATAAAATGCTGGCCTGGGGGAGGGCTAGTCTGTGTCTGCACTAATTTCTCAGAGGGTTGCTGCGAGAATGCTGCCTGGAGAGAAAGTACAGTATTGTAAATATTTGAAATGTACACTAGCTGGCATGGCTTTATTTCCTAACTTCCCACCAGGGAGGCGCAAATGGAGTCCTTAATGATTTTTCTAAGTTGTGAGGACATTTTAGTGTCAACAGACACAGTCCCAAACAGCAGGAAGAATGCTGTGATTTACTCCTAAATGTACAGACACAGCATGTGGACAGCTTTCACCAACACATTTCTACCCTTTGTACAATAATTCTTCAAGGTTCTCGTCTGAGGGAGCTCATATCAAAGACAATGACGAGTCTACAGAGCTATTCAATTTCAAATTAAGTTTTTGTGTTTGTATGATCCAGACCAAAGACGTGGCAATTTGGCAGTCACCACAGGAGGGCCCAGGGATCTCACCTTCACCCTGATTTGAACTTCGGGAGAAGACACCTGAGTGCCGTTCTAGCTCATACCATTGAATGCAGGCCACGGTCTCACTGAGTCACAGGATTCTGTAATATCAATAGTCCGCGTATCGGGGGATGCTGTTTGCAGTCCTTGCTACATAAGCGTGGAGATGTGAAATTTTTATTCCCATTACAGGTGTACATGTAGCTGAAGCCAAGATTATTAAATAAAGCTTCCTTGCCTTTATTGAATGTTTACCCACTGCCTAGGTAAATATTAGCCACACGGTGCAGAAAAAAATGTGAGCTGGGAGTGGGTAAGTAACTGGCCTGAGTTTTGTCAGGAGCAGGATTGGAACATTTCTGTTTGAATGTAGAACCCATACTTTTTACAGGCAAAGCTGCTGCCTCTTATTCTAGATCTGTAAAGGGAATCTCTTTTTGTTTTTAGTCTTATAAACCAATCTCAGGGCACCTGGGTGCCTCAACCGTTGGTTGAGCATCTCACTCTTGATGTCCACAGTGGTCATGATCTCATGATCATGTGAGATTGAACCCCATCTCATGCTCTGCCCTCAGCATAGTCTGCTTAAGATTCTCTCCTTCTGCTTCTGCCCCTCTCCCTACTCACTCTCATTCTCTCTTTCTCTAAGATAAATAAAACCTTTTTTAAAAAGGGTTATAAACCAATCTCTTTACATGAAGCATCTCTGAGAGAAGACACTACACACCTGAGGGAAAAGGGGTACCTGGGTGGCTCAGTCAGTTAAGTGTCCGACTCTTGTTTTTGGCTTAAGTCATGACCTCAAGATCATGATCGAACCCCACATTGGGCTTTGCACTCAATGTGGAGTCTGCTTGAGATATTCTCCTTCTCCCTCTGTGCCCCACCCCTGCTCATGCTCTCTCTCTCTCAAAATAAATAAATAAAATCTTAAAAAACAAAACAAAACGGGGTACAATTATGTCAGGAAGCATGAAGGTACTTTGTGTTTTTCAAAAAGCTAACAGTCTCACTCTTTTCAAGACACTACTGGTAAAACTGAATCCTACATTAACATTCATATTCAGTAGCTTTCCTTATTAGTTCGAAAAATTTTCAATGTCTTTTCTTACTGGTCTTCTAAGATAGAACTTAATTTTTTTCAATGGACAGTAACATGGGGCTTAGTGGACAAAATAAGGATTTAGAACAAACATGTGAGTATATATGCCAGGCAGGTCTTGTCATGCATTTTAAATTGATGATTATGGGGCCAGTAAAGGAAACTACATATCTTTTTTTTTTTTTTTTTTTTTGCCAGAGAGCAGTAACTATCAGTCATTTTCCTTCAAAGGGTACTTAGTGCAGCTAATTTACCATAGCTTTATTTCTTTTGAAACCAATATTTTAGATTTTCCTTGTTTAAAATGAGCAATAAAAAAAAATTGAGAGTGGGGAGGAGGGATTTTTTGAGTTTGCAAGTAAAGGATGGAAAAGCTGATATATAAATTCTTAACGCAAAAGAATTTGAGTCAGGAGTATTACAGCTACTAATTAAACACACTTACATCTTGAGCCACTCCTTAAAAATACATTGATCTTAACAAAATGTATTCCTTTCAAATCCATTTAAGTTAATACCCTAGTAAAGGCATTTTAAATATATACAGTGACCGTTTAGTCAAACAAAGTTTCTATGCTGGAATTAGAAAATTATTTTCTCAACTACTGATATTGCTGGGCGTGGTCTGGAAAATGTTAGGACACTATATTTAGTCTGGTACATAGGACTTAACTCCCCTAGCCCACAGTGTTTCACTATATTAACTCTTAAGGACACGTCCAGGGCCCTACAAAACCCTTTGGTCTGTCAAGAGTTACTCCTCTTTGTGTTTCATTGGCCATTTTGGGCCATATATGAAGGAGAGGTTCATTGGCTGGTGTGATGATAGCAGGGCATGTAGGCATGACTTGTAGAACTACTGAGTCAGTTCATCCCTTCAGTAGTTGTGTTGTGGGCAGTTCTTTTGAAGGGATAGGTATCCACACTCGCCTTTAAATGAGTAAAGACACTTTCCGTGTAAGCCTAAGCAGAAAGAAAATATTAAGTGATGTGAGAGAAAGGAAGGCAGGCTGGATATCCTACTACCACCGCTCTATGGCCAGAAACCACAACCATTATCCCACGAAGGTGGTGCCAGAGTCCAGTGCCTGGAATTCTGGTAACCTCTATGATGGTTAAATGAATTGCTCCTAAGTACTTACTTTTTCAGTTATATGTCATATTCCCTGTTAGGAGACATTTTTCTTTATCAGTGATGACATGCCTGAACACTTTAGTTGTCTGTTTCCTGACAAACAGGGGTCATTAAATGACCCCAAGATTTAATATGCTGTACACAGGGGGCATACCCCATGCAGAGGGGCCAAATGTGGAAAATGGAGTCAACGAAAGGAAGGACATAGAAGGAAGAGATGAAAGTACAATATTACTCATCCTTCCATGAGGGTTAGGACACCATTGGACAGCTTTCTAATAGTCTCACTTCCTCTCTATACCAAATCAAACAGAAAGATAGATTAGTATTTTAACCCATCTCACATTCCAAATTACGGTAGCTAGTATGTCTTAAGTCACAAGGGATACTTAGATGCTGTTTAGCCTCTATCGTTTTTCATTTGAAACATGACAAATGTGAAAGGATTTTAACCAGCAAATGATTCATCCTTAATTCACAAATGAGTCCAAATGTGGAAAGGTCTTAGCCAGCAATGAATCATCATTGTTTTCAGTTAGTAACTAAAATATAGTTAACTAAAAACATGGTAGGCTACACAATGGCAATTTAACAACTATATATTGAGCACAAATATGTGCAGGGTATTGTGTTAGTCACTCAGGAACAAAAAAGGTGGTCATAATGATCCTTGTCCTTAAGGAATTCACCTTCTAATAGAGGACACAAGATAAGCTACCAAGGCACTCCATGGCTACATACAAAATAGAGGAAGTAGAAGAGACACCTTAGGAGAGATACAAAGCACCATGTAGTTCAAACATGGGAGACACCATGTCTGCCTGGAGCTATTAGTAAAAGCTTGTGGCCATTGAGAAATGGCAAGACTTTGACAGAGAACGATAGGTAGAGAGAACATCCTAGGTAGAGTAAGAACAAGAATAAAAGTACCGAAGTACTATAGGGAAGATAAACAGTTAGGCATGGGTGGCTGTTTGAGAACACTGAATATTCAAACTAGTTGAAGCTTAGGGCAACTCTACTGAGGCAGGAATATGGTTGAAGATGTAGCAAATAAAAATACAGGACACTTAGTTATATCTGCATTTCAGATAAACAACAAGTAATGTTTTAGTATAAGTATATCCCATGCAATATTTAGGATATACTTTTATAAAATATTATTTGATCCTTGTCTAAAACTCAAATTTAACCAAGTGTCCCTTATTTCATTTGGCAATTTTCAAGTGACACCTTGGATTCCAAACTGAGAGTATTTATTCCAATGGCATTTGAGATGAGAATATTGTGATCACAGTTGAGTTCTGAGATATTACTCTGGTAGTAGGGTTGAATTGCAGGAAGAAGAGTAGGAAATGAAATGAGCAACTATAAGGCCTTTACAAGCCCAGACTACAGCTTTGTGCAAATTAATAAATTTTTTGGTGGATTTCACCTGCTTTTTCTGAAGGATGTCACCCCAAACCATGTCCCATGGAGCTTGGGCTGGACTTCTGCTCCCTACTCCCATCTGGGTCAGATTTCACAGCCTTGCAAGATGACCCTGGGCAGGTAGAGGTTAGAGGAATCCAGGGAAAATTAACAAGGGTCCCAGGTCTGGTCAGGGCAAGAGGAATGGAAAAGAAAGCACAAGGATATTATAAAGAAGGCTGATTCTGAAGATTTAGATACCTTATAGCCACAGTTCTCAAAGTGTAGTCAGTGAGCCCTTTGGGCTCTCCAAGACATTTTCAGAGGGTCTGTGTAGTGAAGATGGGTTTCACACTAAGATATTATTTACCTTTTTCATTATGTTGATATTTGCAATGGTGTGAAGCACTGGTGAGAAAAGCTATTGTTGCCTTCACATGAATTAAGGCAGAAGCACCCAACTAATCTAACAGTCACTGCGTTCTTTAGCTTTTAGCATCACAATAAAAAAATCAGGAAAAGTTGTTAATTTTATTACATTATAACCCTTGTGTATATGCCTTCTTAATATTCTGGTTAATGAAATGAGAGATATATAGAAGGCACTTTTGCATACCAAAGAGCAATGGCTATCTGGAGGAAAAGGACTCAGGCCATTGAGTTACACACTGAACACCAGACATTCTGAAAAATGGAACACCACTTTCACTTAAAATAACAACTCACAGACAAATTATGGTTGTCCAGATTTGGGTATCTAGCAGACATTTCTCAAAACTGAGTAATGTAAGCCTCTCACTTGAAGTAAAACAACCCTGATATTTGTTATCTAATAATAAAATTTGAGCTTTCAAATCAAAACTCGAATGATGTTAAATACCTATCCATCACTATAAGCTTGAGAGCTTCCCACTACTCAAACACTTTTTCATGAGATTAATGGTGACATTAATGAATGTGACTTTTTAAAATATTTTATTTATTTATTTATTTATTTGTTTGTTTGTTTATTTAGTGTGAGCAGGGGGAGGGGCAAAGGGAGAGGGAGAGAGGGAATCTCAAGCAGACTCCCCACTGAGCACAGAGCCCAACACAGGGCCCTGAGATCATGACCTAAGCGAAAATAAAGAGTTGGACGCTTAACTGACTGACCCCCCCCAGTGCCCCAAATATGATTTTTTAACATTGTATAGTGAATTAAGTGAGCTTTGGGAAGATATAGTTCAGTGCACTAATAGTTTTCAAATGATTGATGCCTAGGTAAAAAGATCCAGTCAAATGCAAGGTAGATCAATGCATTTTAATCTAATAGAATAGAAAAAAATTCATTGATATGGTTTCAGATTTCACACTGTAACTAACCTTTAAGAAACTGTCACTTGCTGAGTTTTGGTACAGTGTCACAGAAGACTATGCACAATTATTGGAAAACACTATTGAAATGTGGCTTTTTTTCTCCAACCACATATCTGAGCAAGGCCAGTTTTTTCCCCCCTGTATTTCAACTGAAACTTTTACAACAGATTGAAGAAGCAGAGATGAGAATCCAACTGCTCTCCAGAAGGCCAGATATTAAAGATCTGCAAAAATGTAAAACAATAATTCTCCTCTCACTAATTTTTTTGTTTTAGAAAAAAGTTATTTTTCATAGAATGTGTTAACTTGTAATGAGATGATTATTGTTATTTTATATGGACTAACACATATTTTAAACAATTCTGTTTTAATATCCAACATGGCTAATAATGATAGATATAACCCACAAAAACAAATCTCTCTGGGGTTCCTGATAATACCTAAGAATGACTGCTAAAGACTAAGAAGGAAATTGAGGATCCAGATATGAAAGATTCAACACCTTGGGGGCCCTTAAAAGAACAAGAAAAACCAAGAGAAAAAAATTGAGTTAAGGCAAGGATGGTGGAGCCGGGGCAATAACAATCTGCTGGGTTTTGAACATGTGGCGCGCTTGCAGTACCTGGAGATGAGGTCCAGCAGGCAGCTGGGAATACTATCTGGAACCTGAGAGAATGATCTGAGATAAAGACTTAGATTGGGATTTTTTTTTTCTTTTTTTCCATAGAGAGAGTAATCAGAAACAAGAGGCTTGCTCCGTTTGATGAGAGAATCAAAAACAAGCAAAACCTTGGGAGGGAGTTATCCCAGACTCAAGGAGTGCAAGGAAGACAAGTGAAAGAAAAGTCCAAAAGAGGAGAAAATGTAGGCTAGCGCAGAGTACTGCAAACAAATTTATTGCTAGTTTAGTTTTATCAAACACTATGGGCAGGCCATTGAGACGAAAGCTCCCATTCATTTCATACAGTGACCTTAGAAGGCTGTATTAATCATCTCATTTTGCAGATGAGAAAAAGGAGGCTGGGGTTTTGACCACTACCCTTGGTTCTGAATTTGGTGAGGAGGCTTAATAGTATTAAATACTTCAGGGTGTGATGAAGGGGAAACAACTGAGAAAAGGCAAATGAGATACACAGTTAGAAGGAACTTCTGGAGAATCAGTTGGCCCAGTATTTGGAAACAGCCAGTAAAGCAGAGTGCAAAATATCTTTATCTTATTTTGTTTTTCTAAGAGACACACACACACACACACACACACACAGAGAGAGAGAGAGAGAGAGAGAGAGAATGTGTGCTGGGGGGAAGGGAAAGGGAGAGAGAAAATCTTAAGCAGGCTCTAGGCCCAGCACAGAGCTTGATGTAGGGCTCTATCTAATGACTTGAGCTGAAATCAAGAGTCAGATGCTTAACAGACTGAGCCACCCAGGTGCCCCCAGAGCACAAAATATCTTTGAGAAAACTTGAGGGTGTTAGGAAGCAAAAGCCTGAGAGGATAGCAGTGGAATAGGAATACTACAGTTCCCTTTATTAAGAGGGGAGAGAGACAGTTCTGATTTATATATTATTTTACATAAATCTGCATAGCAATTTCCCAACACCTTAGGGAATCAGATGTAGATGCAAGAAGCATAGAATTTCAGGGGCCACTTAAAGGCACTTTAGTATTCTCCATTCTCCCCAGCCCGCACTGGAACCAGCTTTTATTACTTGTCATTTTCAAAGTGTAAGAGCTGAGCCGTCAGCTTCAGGAATCTGATTGAAAATCATGTTCATAAACCTTTAGAGAGTGAACGTCTTTCTCATTCTGTCTTGAGGGCTGGAAATGTGCCTCTCATCTCCTGTGCAACTCTCCCCTGCCCCACTGCGTAGCGAGGTCAGGGCGCGATTGCTCCGATGTGAAGGCCCAGCTGCAATAATTTAATTACTCATTCAGGTGGTACTTTTTCCCATGAAGATAGTCAAGCCTCAACTGCTTATAGATTGAAGCTTTTAATAGGGGAAAGAGGTGAACAAATTATTAATATTAATGACAATTTATGTCTTTCAAATGATCTTTTGAAGTATGCATATAATTTGTGAACATTAGCTTAGAAATCACCCTTTCTGGAATGAATTGTGTGATAATTACAATGATTGGGAAGCACTTATAACAATCTTCTGTCTGGCTAGAGCATTACAGGTCAAAGAACAAAATCAGCTGAAATGAGGGAGCTCTGCCCTAAAACAACTGAGAAGGCAAGTGGGATTGACTCTCGGGTTCTGATTCAGTAACAGGTTATCCAAGTGCTTAGCCAGGCATCTTCCACATTATAAGAGCTCAGTCACCGCTAAGCAGGCCTGAAATCGTTCCCATAAATCAGTATGTGTGACAGTGGCATGTGGCATGCTAGATGGAGTAGATAATCATACCTGTGTGATGACTTAATGAAGCTGGCAATGTCTCCCCCCAACCCCCCGCCCCTGAATCTCTTGCCAAGTAGAGAACCACAGTAACTGGAATTTCACTGTGGTTGGTTCTGATTTTGGTGTTTAGGTTAAGCCCTGATTTCTAATGAACATTGCCCCCTACCCAAGAAGTCATGTATTAAAATACCAATAGTACAGCGTGAGTTAGTTTGAAGGATCTTTTTTTTTTTATGATGCAAAAGTTTATCACACAAAGAGAAGTAGGTTGGGGCAAGGATGAGGAGGTTTCCCTGAAAGTGAGGAGACAGGTTTCTAAAGTGAGGCTGTTTATGCTCCGTAGTTTCATAATTTCTCCTTATTATTTCCCTTTTGGTCAGCTGGTGCAGGCTTCGTACCTAATGCCTCAGTTCCCAAGGAAAGAGTCCAATTACAGTTTGCCCCTGAGGTTGTGAAGGTAAATGTTGTAACCTGAATGCGTGTCTCTAACCACCCCTACTAAACCATGACTCTTTTCCTCTCCACTTATTTTTTTTTTTAATCTTCTTGAACTTTCTCTGATATTAACATTTCACAAAGCTACTTACCCAGGGAAACTCTTGCAGGAACAGCTCTCTGGTCAATCCAAAATGAAACCCACGAAAGCATCACCATCAGCATAGCTGGGAAATAGGTTTGCAGCACGAAGAAGAAAATATGCCTCCTTAGCACAAAGTTGATGAAAAGCCTGTTGTACCAACCTATGAGAAAAATTCAGAGTTTTCCTTAGAACAGGTGTCCTCGTGTAAACATCACACTAAGTGAAATCATGTGCTTCTTTAAACTCTAAGCTCGAAGGGAAAATGGAACTGAACACACTCACTCTTGTTTACCCAGCAGGAGGACAGGGCCTGAGCCTGTCGCTCCATCAGTGCTTGTTGAACTGACCTGTAGTCTGCTTCGTTATGTGATTCGAAGATTCCCCTTAAATTTCATAGCTGTTATTCAGGAATGCCTGGTAATTATATTTTGTGGAATGGCCTTTAAAAACCTTTCTCCAAAATATATTGTGTTTGCATTGTTTCTGCAAGTGGGCAAGTCTTCAATACATGACTAATGACTGGGGCAATAGCCAATAAACAATTTATTAGCTTTAACGGATGAAAGGGAATATTTTATCTGAAGGAAAAGATTCACAGTAGCTACTGAGTCATTGGATTCCAAGTTGGAATCTTGATAGCAAGGGATTCATAATGGGAGTGGGTGAAAGGAGTATCTGTAAACAGTATTATTTCAGAGGCTGGTGGGTACCATTAATTTATCTATAATAAATCTGAAAAAAGTAATCAAATCATGATGTTTCTTTGCTTCTGGTTGGAATTATATAAACTCATGTTGGTAATATCGATTGATTCATGTTGATCAGAAGCAACAATTGCGGTCACATTCACACAATTTTGTCAGGTTTCCTTTTTCACACTGGCTGGAAGGAAGTGTAAAGCCAAAAAAAAAAAAAAGAGAGAGACTAGGTTAAAAATTATAAAGCAAAATCATGAGCATTGCAAAAGGGTTTAGAGAACATTTTGTACCAGTCTCAGTAGTAGTTTCGTAGGAAACTCAAGATGGCACACTTATTAGATGGATCAGGTCACTTTTTAGGCATTCAGCCCAAACATAAATCTAGCAAACCCACCCTGAATTGGCAGACTCTCCTCTTAGTATTCTATTCTCAGTTACATGCTGATGACCCTTCTTGTCCCTATCTTTTCTGGAGTTCTCTCTCACCACCAGCTGATATATGTTCCAGGAATAACAAAAAATTTCATTCCCAAGGGAAATAAAAGACACTTTACATAGTGCATTGTAAATGCACTGTAAAGTCAGAATATACACTATTTTTTGAACTATTCATTGTCTAATATTACCCATGTTACAGTCCTACTCCATTATTGTGTGCAGCTGAGAATCTTGATTATAGCTGTAGAGTGGGATAACAGCCTCTCTGATATTATACCTTCATACAGTTATCATGAGATTAAAGGAGATAAGGAAAAGTTCTGGAAGAATTTCATAAAGAAAGACACTGTTAGTTTATATGGTTTTAACTATGAACAGGGTCCTTTCTTTATTCATAATTTTCTGAATAATAACTTTGTTTTTGTCAACCGAGCAAGAGAAATCCTGTTCTGTTGTGTGGTTCTTCAGGGCAGGGGAGACTAGGGATGGTATTGTGGTTGAGCTCTTCCTGGCCTATAGCTTCAACCACAATACCATCCCTAGTCTCCCCTAGGGAGACTTGAGGAGTCAGTCTCGAGACAATGTTCGAGAAGGTTTTTATATGTGGAGACTCACCTTCAATGGCCTGTGACACTAAAAGCCTCATTCTGTTTTGAAAGGATCCTGGTGATGTTGTTGATGAAAACAGTGACGAGCTAATACTAGCTCTACTAGCTAATATTTCCTGAGCACTTACCATATGGCAGACAGTATTCAAAGGTATTTATGGCAGACAGAATTCTAAATTATTTAAATGTATTAAATCATGTATCTTCACGACTCTATGAGGTAGAGAGTGTTATAAAACCAATTTAAAGATGAAGACATTGAGGCTTAGGGAGACTAAGCAACTTGCCTACATTTCTAGTAAGTGGCAGGGGCGGAATTTGAACTCATGCAGTCCGTCTCCAAAACTTGAACTTTTAGCTACTATGTTATGCTGCAACAAAGAGTAATTATCAATGCATTCTTTAGGGGCAGGAGTCATTTTTGTTTTTCTTTGTAAATTTATAGTGCATGATTGTGAGGGACATTGAAAGTCAAGAAAGGGCAGAAGCCCTCCCCTGCTTGTTAACGTTCTCAGGAGGTGGTAAAGATGCCAAGGAAAAAGTGGGAACTGATGGTTCAGCTATCAAATGGAAACTAAAATTGTATAATTATAACTCTATTTCTGGCTCTTCTAACCAGAACCAGAAGTGCAGTTTTTTCTGTATAGCTGATTTGGCTATACAGAAGTTATGGGGGTTGTTAGGAATATAAATATAAACAGATTGTTTCTGATGAAGCTCATATGTTTAAAAGGATACTAATCTAAGAAAAACATTTGGGTTTAGGTCTCAAGAGCCCATATTTAATAATCCGTGGATAATGTGAGGCAGAACTATCATATACTTGTAAGCTAAAATAAATTTGTGTTAATCTTTCTGAAACCTAAGCATCACTGAATAAACACATATATGATTAATAACTTGATATTTGGAGGTGCCTGGGTGGTGCAGTTGGTTAAGCATCCCATTCTTGGTTTCAGCTCAGGTCATGATCTCAGGGTCATGAGATCAAGCTCCATGTCGGGTTCCACACTCAGTGAGGAGTCTGCTTAAGACTCTCTCCCTCTCCCTCTGCCCTTTGCACTCCTACTCTTTCTCTCTCAAATAAATAAATAAAATCTTAAAAAAACGATATTTGACTACAACTTCCAAAATGCTTTACTCTTATATTTTTATAGTCTTAAAACACATTTTAATCTTTCTTATTAAAAATGTATATGTTGTAACAATTTAAAAATACAGATGTGTTGAAATAAAATTGAAAATATTGCCACTCTATACTCAACTCTCAGAAGTATCAATTGTTAATCTTTCTGGACATTCAAAAACCACATATAAAAATCCTTTAAAAATATTTTATTTATTTATTTGACAGAAAGAGAGTGAGAGAGCACAAACAGAGGGAGTGACAGAGGGAGAGGGAGAAACAGGCACCCCACTGACCAGGGAGAATGATGCAGGTCTATATCCCAGGTCTATATGCCTGGGCTCATGACCTGAGCTAAAGGCAGACGTTTAACTGATTGAGCCACCCAGGTTCCCCTATATAAGTAAGTGCTTTTTAAAATAACAAATATGGGATTATATATATATTCTTCTATAACATTATTTAAACTTTTTTAAACAATTATTATGGATAATTTTCTGTCATGCCATACAAACCATGTATATTTAAACCTAATTCTTTTCTTTTTAAAAATTTTCTTAGAAATAAAAATGTTTTTTCTTAAAATTGTAACCATACTGGACTGTTAAGAATTTTTAGTGGATTTTAAAACACTTAAAAGCATCTTTCTGAGTTTTACAATATAAGCTTTATGATATAAGTATTCTGTGTGGCTTTAGGTAGACTCTAAAACATGACTAGAAGAAGAAAAAAATCAGCTAGTGTTGGACCTGTCTGGTAGGGCTTAAAAAGCCTGACTAGGACAAATAAAAAGATGGTGAGGCCAATGGAATGGCATACTGGTGAAATAAGAATTTGGAAATGAAAATTAAACTTTTCTTTTTAAGAGGATGGTTGGATGTATATTTTGGATACTTGTGTTTCAAAATCTGAAGAGACATTGCCATTTTATATATGCAGCATATATTCTGTGCAGGAAGCAATACTCTTGAATTTCTATGCTTCATATATATGACATTGTAATAGCTTCAAACACTGAAGAGACTTAGTCATAATTTATCATGTGCCAAAGTTATTTCATCATAACAGCAAAATGAAAATAGTTATAAATTATACTTGGTATGTATCATTGTTCATTGTATGCATTCCTTTGTTTAAATATTAGTTAAATTTAGGACTCAGAGCATTAAAAATCCTGATAAAAAATACTCACACAGTTGACCCTTGAATAATGTAAGGGTTAGGAGTGCTGGCCCTGGTGTTGTTGAAAATCTACATAGAAACTTCCAGTCCCCCAAACCTAACTACTAACAGTCTACTGCTGCTTAGAAGCCTCAGTAAACATAACGGTTGAGTAAAACATATTTTGTACATTTTATGTACTATGCAGTGTATTTTTACAATAAAGTGAGCTAGAGAAAAAAATATTAAAAAAAACCATAAGGGAGAGAAAATACATGTGCAGAACCATACTGTATTTATCAAAAAAATTCACATTTGGGGCGCCTGGGTGGCTCAGTGGGTTAAGCCTCTGCCTTCGGCTCAGGTCATGATCTCAGGGTCCTGGGATCGAGCCCCGCATCGGGCTCTCTGCTCTGCAGGAAGCCTGCTTCCTCTTCTCTCTCTCTCCCTCTGCCTGCCTCTCTGCCTACTTGTGATCTCTCTCTGTCAAATGAATAAATAAATTCTAAAAAAAAAAAAAATTCACATTTAAGTGGACCGTGCAGCTCAAACTTGTGTTGTTTGAGGGTCAACTATATCTATCTATATAGAGAAATACAAAGAGAGAAAACAAAAAGGAGAAGGAAATTTATAAAAATAATAACAGTTTTTCTCTAGGAGGTAGGATTACGAAGGCTTTTTCTTTAAACGTCTCTGAATTTTTTTTCAAATTATTTACCTGTCATTCATTCATTTAGCAATTACCTATTGAGCAGCCACTATGTACCAAGGGTATACAAATGATTAAAACAAATAATATGTGTGTTACTTATATAATAAGACAAGGCCCTAAGCATTATTACAGTTAGTAGCATTACCTGCTGTATCCCAAGCATTATAGACAAGTAAGTGAAACAGAGCATTTGTTCTGGATCTAAATGGTTACATAGCTGTTGGTTCTAAAAAGACCTTTACCTTCCCTGTGATGTACATTTTTTATTGCTCTCTTAATGATTCAGGTTTTTAGATAACACCCGGATAACCCGCTCCAGAGTCTAAGGGCAGAATAGAGCACCTCCAGGGAGAAAAGTCAGTAGGTAAAAAGATTCTAGGCAGGACGGTTCTGAAACTCAGTGGCAGCATACACTTTCCAGGCTTCAAAAATCTGAAATGGCATTTTATAAGGATTCTTCCTTAAATGACCCAGAGTAAACAGGGAAGAGGAAGCTACTTCCAACTTTAATCAACAGGGATCAAGTATAATTTAAAAAGTACCAAGAATCCATGTTGCCAAATGGCAAGTATATCTGTCATAGTGAAGAGTATACAATATAGGCCTGATATTGAACAGACTTTCTGTGTTTCTGCCTGACTCCCCCAGCCATACTTATTGAGTATATTTACTGCTGAAGCAAGCATGGCGATATTTATTGAGTATCTATCACGTGCCGTGCCCATTCCAGGTGCTGGGGAAGAAATGGTGAACAAGGCAGACAGATTTCGTGCACTCTTTCTAGTCAGGCCCTCAGGAAAGAAAGCAGTCAACTAGAGAGATATTTCAGGTAGTGTTAAGTGTTGTGAAGACAAATAGAGACAGGGAATGGTGAGGAATGAGGCCTAGTTTAGACACGATGGTTAAGAAAGCACTCTGTGAGATGGTATTTGAACAACACCCTGAATGGGAGGAGGGAGCTGGTCATGAGAAAACTGGGGGAAGATCATTCCAGGCAGAGAGAGGAAAAGGCCGAAGCAGAGGCTGTGTGGGGAGAATGAGATAGGTGTGTGTGTGAGGACGGGCTAGAAGGCCAGTGTGCAGAGAGCGGAGGGGGCGGGTGTAGTGGTGAAGTCAGAGGTAGATCATGTGGGCCTTATAGGCCATTTGAGAAACTTGAGTTTTGTTGTAAGTATGGTGGAAACACACTGGAAGGTTTTAAGTAAGAAAGGATTGTGGTCTTTATGTTTTCAAAGATCACTCAGTCTGCTGTGTTCAGAGTAGACTGCGGAGGCCAGGCGTGGAAGCAAGCCATTTATTCAGAGGTGACTGCACAAGGAAGAGAAGTCATGTACTGGAAAGGAGGAGGAGGCTGCCTGTGAAGAAGGAAAGAGGATGCTGGCCAAACGGGACATGCGTTTGGATTCAGGTCTCTTCACAGGTTGTGGTGCTTTGCAAACAGTAGGTGTTCAGTAAATGCTGATGAACTGTCCACATAATATAAGGCACCTGTGCTGCTGTAGAAAGCGAATCCACTGGATGCACTGAAGTCCTCAATGAAGAACTGAGACAGGGAAATATGCTCATCAGTATTTAGGGACCTGTTTCCCTGTTTCCAGTACAGCATTAGATCCTCTTCATTGTAGGCATCTAAAACAAGAGAATAGTATTCCTGTCACCGGAATCACCAGAATCATGAGATGACTGGTCCGGTGACATGTAGATATGGGATCCTGAAAAATGTTTGCTGATAGACTAATAATACCCATACCAAAAAAAGAAAAGAATAATCTCCAAAACTTGGGCCCTAATCACTGGCATAGTGTGGTGGTCTTTCTTGTGCCCACACATCCTGTTAAAACTCTCCAAATCACTGTTCCCCTCCCTGTGTGCCCTCACTCCTGTCACACACAGAACCACCTGCTCTAAGCCAGAGGCCTGACCCCAGGTCATCAAGGCCCTCCAGTTTTGTAGCTCTCTTGGATGAAATTCCAAAATGAGCTGAATTGATAAAGAATTTTCTTCTGAAGATGTGATTTTATATATATATATATATATTTCATTGTGTGTGTGTGTGTGTATACACACACACACACAATGAAATATAATGTAGCATCAAAAAAACCCCGAAATCTTGCCATTTTCAATGATGTGGATGGAACTAGAGGGTATTATGCTAAGCGAAGTAAGTCAATCAGAGAAAGACAATTCCCATATGATCTCTCCGATATGAGGAATTTGAGAAACAAGACAAAGATCATAGGGGAAGGGAGGGAAAAATAAAACACAATGAAACCAGACAGGGAGACAAACCATAAAAGACTCCTAATCTCAGGAAACAAACTGAGGGTTTTGGAGGGGAGGGGGGTGGAGGGATAGGTTGGCTGGGTAGTGGACACTGGGGAGGGTAAGTGCCATGGTAAGTACTGTAAATTGTATAAGACCGATGATTCACAGATCTGTACCCCTGAAAATACAGTATATGTTAATTTAAAAAATCCCCTTAGAAAGGCTCATTTAACCTCAGTTTCTTTTGTTTTAAGGTACTTAATATCTAGCTGACAAGAAATCTATAAAAAGAATGGAGATTGTCATGTGGAGGGATGAGGGGATGAAGAGAGACCAAGGGACAGTTTTTAAAAACTGAATGTGTCAATAAAAAGGAACTTTTCACCAGAAAAAACAAAAACAAAAACAAAAACAAAAATGAATTTTCTTCTGAAATCAAATAGTGTTATAGAAAGCTCCTCATGCACTTGGGGAGGAGCATCCACTGAGATTCCCATTGTTTTGGCCAAATTATAAAAATCTGCAGTCAGCTTTTAAAATGTGGTGTCAAAACCACTGAGGCTCAGCACCGGTGATTGACAAGGAGACAGCTCAGAAGCCCCCTGACAGCTTTGATTAGAGGGTCTATGTCTATAGCTGCCTTTTTTTCTGGGGAGCCCACGTACATTTAATGGAAGATTGTAACTTATTTGGGAAAATGAATTCCAGAGCTTTCCAAATTTGGAAGGTATGTCAGTCTATGTTAATAACATTAGCAAGAATATACCCTTTTAGGGAACTTGTTCCTTTATAATCAGGTGGAAACTACAGATACGTACTTATGAAAACATCCTTTCCCTGGGTGTTCTCTTTTGAGAGAAAATCTGCATCATCTTTGGTTTAAAAAAGAAAAAAGTAATTATTTTGAATCAATATATTTAACTTATATCAAGATTTGTAAATGCTTGGTAAGTACATGCTTATATACATGCAGATATGTGATGGTATGTTCAGATCATGAGTACTCACTCCATCAGGAAGTAAGACTTACAGCTTTCCAGTTCAAGGGAACAGCTTTGAGTGTCAAGAGGAAACCTGCTGAAATCCATAAGGCACATGGCTGACACAGTTACCCTATAAAAGGAAAGAGAGAACAAAAAGTGCAGATCATGTCACCATATGGCCAAATAAACATGCAATATTGAAGCTTCCTTACTGTGGTGTTTGTTTTGTGTGCCTTTCAAAAATAATGGGAAACAGGCATTGCCATCCTCCATCGAAGTAACATCTAAGGAGACGAACCCAGGAGGTGTGTGGTTTGCTGAAAACACAGGGTTAACGCAGGAATTCCTGCTCTAAAGATTGTTCCTGATCTCATCGTGTCCTAGTCCATGCCCTCTGTATTATTTGGCTCTGATGTCTTCAGAAAAACATACTTCAAAGGGAGACGACTTTTAAGTAGATTTAAATATTTTCTGCTCTTTGGAAGATCCAAACTTTGTTTCTAGTCATAAAGGGCTGGAATGGTGGTAATAAAAACCTATGGGTAAAGGTTTCTCTCACAAAACAAGTTTACTTGAGAAAATTCTTTTTCCAGCAGGAAGGAGAAAGCCTGGAGCATTTTCAGTTATAGATTTATGTGCACAATGCATAATTCAGGTGCCATTAAGGCTTGCATACTGATGAGAATTGTTTTTTCAAATTTTATATTCTCCTAGGTTTTTCTGGCTTTAGGCAGAGGCTGCTATGCTATGATCCTGCCTCAAAGTACAGACTCTGGTATACACAACAGCAGATCAGAGGTTTACAAAAGGCCCCTGAGCAAGTCTGCACAAAACAAAGGCAACAGCTGCTCTTACCTGTGGTGCCCCCAAGTTGTTTTTATGTTTTGTTTTGTTTTTAAAGCTTTTATTTATTTATTTATTTGAGGGAGAGAGTGTGAGATGGGGTAGGTCAGAGGGAGAAGAAGACTCCCTGCTGAGCAAGGAGGCTGATGCGGGACTTGATCCTGGGACTCCAGGATCATGACCTGGGCTGAAGGCTGTCGCTTAGCCTACTGAGCCACCCAGGTACCCCCATGCCCCCAAGCTAATCAGAGAAGTTGAACCAATTTATCTTCAATAGTCATGCAGCAAAATGAAAGTCAAGGAGGTATCTGGAAGACACTGTGTCACAAAACATACTCATTTTGGTATATTCCTGGTACACCTGACCTTTGAACAATGCAGGGGTTGGGGGAACCAACCTCTGCACAGTTGAAAATCATGTATAACTTTTGACTCCCTAAAAACTTAACTATTAAAGCCTTACTGACAACATAGTCAGTTAACACATATTTTGTATATGTATTTTATATTGTGTTCTTACGGTAAAGCTAGAAAGAAGAAAATATTAAGAAAATCATAGGAGAAAATACATTCACATTACCATATTGTATTTACAGAAAAAATCCACATATAAGTAGACATGTACAGAAGGGACCTGTGAAATCTTTGAGTCTACCTCCTTCATAGTAGATATGAATAAGTTAACAACCACAGTGGTTAAATAAGTGGTGGTAAAGAAAAAACTACTCATGGGGCACCTGGGTGGCTCAGTGGGTTAAGCCTCTGCCTTCGGCTCAGGTCATGATCTCAGGGTGCTGGGATCGAGCCCCGCATCGGGCTCTCTGCTCAGCAGGGAGCCTCCTCCCCACCCCCCTCCCCGCCTGTCTCTCTGCCTACTTGTGATCTCTCTCTCTCTCTGTCAAATAAATAAATAAAATCTTAAAAAAAAAAAAAAGAAAAAACTACTCATGACCCTTGTTCAAGAACAGTAAGGGCGATTTTATTTAGGGAGACTACTGTAATTTGGTTTATTAACAAGGGTGAGAGGAGTGGGGTCAACTCCAAATACAACAAGGAAAAGTAGAAATTATAGCTAAGGAGCGGGGTTATAACCAGGGGCAATGAACAGAAACATTACTCAGAGGAAACATCACAAGTAGTTGGTGGGGGTGGAGAGTTCTGGCTAAAAGTTCCTAAAAGGATTCTTGCTAATGGCAGGCCAGGGTGATCAGACATTGCCTGGGGTGGTGGAAGATGAGGAATCTAATCAGATTTGAAGGGTGATTGGATATTGCGGATGGAAGATTCTGGCTGAATGCACTTAGAGAGACAAACACAGATGCTCAAAAGTCAGGGATTAAGTGAGAAGAAAGTTCAGAGGAGCCCAGCAGAGTTTGGCCAAAGACAGAAGCTTTGTCAGTCAATGGTGTCAGAACAAAGCCTGGAACCAGGTAACCTGGCTCCAGGCTTGGACTGGCTGTACTGTCAAATAGAATAACTGTGTGGACAACAATTTTGAGTCCTTCTATGTTTGGGGATTCCCCAAGGCCACCCTCAGGTTCCATGATTTGCTAGGAGCACTCACAGAACTCATCAAACCTGTTAACACTAACACAGTTATGGTTTATTACAATGAGAAAGACATAGATAAAAATCAACAATGGAAAAGTCACAGAGAACAGGGTCCAGTAGAGACCAAAGGAAATTTCAGCTGTCCTGTTCTAGTGGAGTTACGTGGGCAGTGCTACTGTCCCAACATCGCTGTATGACCGTGGGGTACTGCCAACCAGGGAAGTTACCTGAGCCCTGGGGTCCAAAGTATTAACTGAGAGTTGGTTCCATAGGTCTAGCTGACCTTGGTCTCCAGCTGGTCCAGAGGTCAAGCTGATACCAAGTAGCTCAAAACCTCCTCCATAAATCCCGTTGTTAGCATAGACTGTCTGCTATGGCCCAAAGCCTCAGGGTGAACAAAGATCCTCTTATCAGGCAGGATATTTCAAGGGCTTGGAGACTGAGCCAGAAATCATTCTTTGGAATGTGCAGGGTAAGGACAATCTACTAGAGTTAATTCTTTCATCACAATAATTAATTTTAAAAAGTTAAAAGTTTTTAACACTTGATTCCATGGCCAGAAGCTGCCATTCTGCTTCTGATTCTTAGTGAGGCCTGACTCCAGTACGTATTCGAGTCCCAAGGTACTCCTGACTTAAAAGTTCTATCAAAAGTAATACTTTCCTTTCATTGCATTTTTAAAAACATTGACAGCAATATGGCAACAGCATCTTTGTCCTAAAGTGAACATGGTGTTTCTGGTGAACAAAAAGAATCTGTATTAATTTTCTATTGCCACCGTAAAAAACTACCACAAACTTGGTGGCTTAAGACAACAGAAATTTATTCTCTTGCAGTTCTGGAGGACAGAAGTCTGAAATTAGTATCACTATGCTAAAATTAAGGTGTCAGAAAGGGTCTCTTCCTCCAGAAGCTCTCAGGGACAAATCCATTCCTTGGTTTTTATAGCTTCTGGCAGCTGTTGGCAGACCTGTGCTAGTGGTTTTATCATTCCAATCTCTGTCTCAATGGTCACATTGCCTTTCTTGATCAAAGAGGCTTATGATTGATTGATAGCATTTGGGTCCCAACCAATTGATCCAGGATAATTTTCCTATCTCAAGATCCTTAACTTAATCACATCTGCAAAGATTTTGTTTTCCCCCCAAATAGAGAAATTTTCACACGTTCCAAGGACTAGGATGTGGAATCCGTTGGGGAGCCATTTTTTTTTTTTTTTTTCCTTCAGAGTCTTACTGGAGACTTTCTGGGATTTCTAAGACATGAAAAACATTGAATTACTTGGATTTACTAGACATTTTTAGAATTACCAATGATAAGCTATTCAGTATGCACAGGATCATTAGGCTAAAAAAACATATTGTGAATTAAAGATGAAGGGCTGTTATAGCATAGTGTCAGAAAACAATGTTTTGAATTAAAAAAATGAAAAGGGAGTAAACAAATGTGTGGTAATTTGAATGATGACTATACCTTCTTGTAAAAAATGAAGGAGATAATTAAGAAAACTATTTGATTAACCCAAGGTTCCAAGACTGCTTGGTCATGTTCAGTTGATAAAAAAGAAAAGCAATTTTGTGCACCTATAAAATCGTGGGCCAGACTCTTAGGGATTTCCATAATCCAGCTCCAATCTGTCCAACCTTATTTTCTATTATTTTCCAACGATATGCTGAGTAGAGTAGAAAACTAGTTTTTAAAATGTGAAAGTTAGAACAAGGAATAATCACATTTTCTGCTTGTGTCCCAATCTTCAACATGACTAAACAAACAGTAATATTGTGAGTTTAGTCAGAAGCGAGATCCACTAAGCTTTGGTGTAGACAGCCCAGGAAGCCAAAGAAGGTACACAGCCCACCTTACCTGAGACTGAAGAGGACATTTCCATCAGGGTATATGCGCAGCATTATGTTCTCCACAGTTGTATCATGAATGAAGGATCTTTTAGAGTGGACAAAAAAGATGTCAGGCACCCAAATCTTTTTGATCAATCTATGATCAAACGTCATGCTTTTGTTTGTTGTGCTAAGAAAGGAGAGCCTCTCATCTTTCCAGTAATGTCTGAGATAAAAAGTCATTGTAAAGTCCTAGGCAGAGAGAAAAAGAGACAAGTCAAAGCCAGTAGGACTATGGTTCAGGATGATCAATTAATACTATTAGTCCTAGACTGATTGGCACGGGTATTAATGACCTATAAAGTGAATGGCTTGTATTGTATTTTCAGGAAGATTTAGGATGAAGCCAGTGAGCTTGAATTGCAAAGCCTCTCCTTCACCTGGAATCTGGTGAATGTTGGATTTTTAGGAACCAGAGAGAATTCAAATTGGGGAAGGGAAGCCAGGTTATAACTAGGAAATATTTCTACATAAGCACTGGTAAATCACCTAAAGAGATCTTGGAACTAAAGGGTTTGGAACTACATGGCCCAGTATTTTATTTTGACTTATTGTTTCTTTGTAAATAAACATTTACCTTTATAATGATTTCTCTATCCATAAATTCATTTTTTTTTTTTGTTAAAGAAGCCCTGACCCCAAGTTAAATAAACTACAGTCCCACAAAAATGGATACAGCATTTATTAGAGTTGTTCATAGAAAGCATGCTGTCAGAGATCCCAAGAGGGAGACAATTTTCCTCAGCTTGAGAGAGAGAGAAAGAATACCAAGAAATGGTGGTTCTCAAAATCTAGTGTGCAAAAGACTTATCTGTGAATCTGTTAAAACAGCACATTCCCCAGAAGCTAGTATTCTGAGATTCTGAGCCAAAATGGCTCAGGGAACTGGATTCTTAGTGTGTAACCCAATTGTGAAGAGATAAAGATGGTGGATGGGCAGAGCAATATTAGCATTATTTTATTAGGAAAAAAAAAATGGTTGGTCAATACTTTGAGCTTTGTTTGGCTCTCAGATGCTACATTTAACATCTTGTTTGTTTGAACAAAAACTCCCCCAGCTACATCCAAGTCATTGGGTGTGGATGATGACGATATGTTTCACCTTGCACAACTGTTTACTTCTAACATTTATTTCCCAACAATACTCAAATTATTCTTGAACTAGCACTTGAGACAGAACTTTGACATTTATTATATAAGTGAAAGACAAAACTCAGTAAACTACAGATAAGTCACCAATTAATGATGAGCTTTTTTTTTTTTTAAGGTTCAGAATAGAGGTACATTGTATTACTGCTCTAGGTTAATCTGGGAACATCAGACATGTGTAATTTTGAATTAGGGTGAGAGCAAATAAATAGAATGATTCATTCATTCTCATAACACTGCTCTATAGGGAGTTGTGTGGGTTACTGCATGGATTGCTTTAGTAAGCATATATTTAGAATTAGGTGCTCAATCTGATTTGAGCTTATGTAGTCAAATAGCAGACATTAGTACATTTCAGTTGACACATCAACACCACTACTAGTGGGCACCATCACAAGAAATCAGGCTGAACACCATGTTGAGAGGAGAGTGGGGTAAAACTTCAAGGAACTGAAAGTGAATTCAGGGTGGGAAGATGAGAAATAAGAAGAAAAAGAAGCCAACACTGGGGGCCACTGATAATTAGAAAGCATTTTCACCTTGGGCATGGAGAATCCAGTGCCATTTTAGCTGATACTGAGTCCCATAGTTCATCTTATTCAGGAGAGAAGGATGAGGCCTAGTTTTAGGGGCACTGGGGTGGAGACAATGAGATTTTAGATGCAGACAGGGTCATTCAGGGATAATTTAGAGATTATGCCAGTGAAGAGGAAAAGAGTACTTGTTCCTGGAGTACAACAGACTCAAGAAAATGTTGGTGGAAGGTGGTTTTGGTCAAGGAAGAGCCAAAACTTTCTAAACAAGGTATTTTTGAGTAGTGAGTACTATTGGTGTTATTCCCTTTAGGAGTAGGGTGGTTAAAATGAAGGAAGTTTCATAGTGAAACTTGAAATAAATACTGAATTCGATAATAATAAGCACTAGGAAAACATTAACTGAAGGTTGAAACAAATATAACAAATCACAGAAAGTTTGTTTAGAATTTGCTGGAATTTTTATATGTTCTATAATTTTTCATTCAGTTAGTCAATGACTAGTTGGAGGAATCACTATAAATAAAAATATTAAGTACATATATAAAAAGATTACTGATCTTCCAATTTAATTGATTTATATTTTCTAGGTCTGGTTTCCTAAAGAGATTTCCTACCTTTTTTTTTTTTTTTTTACATTTTATCTTTAACTGTAGTATTTGCATAAAGTAACATATAAAATCTAAATTCAAGCAGAAAGAAATGAATAGAGAGCAAAGTAACTTTAACTCTGTGAAAAATACATATTAGTAACATACATGATTAAATTGGTTTACTAAAACACCAGTGATTTTGACACTATTCTCTATCCTTTCAGGAAAAGACCAGTATCTCAGAGAAACTTACCATGTTAACCTCTGAAATGCTGTCAATGCTTTCAACCTGGACATCTATACCTACTGGCACTGGAGACACTTCAGAAAGAAGAATGAATGATATATTGAGAAATCATTAAAATTATTTTGGAAATGTTCAAAGCAGAGATAGAACAATGTTATAAGTGAATTAATTAAAAAATTTTTAACAATAAACTTCTCCATTATCTATTGATATATTATTATATAGTCGATTACAATAAAAAGGCACGTGTAAATAAATGTTATTTCAATAAGCATTGCACATTTGCTTAGAAACAACTCAATATTTTCCTTCTTATAGTATACTTAGAGTATAGAAGTAGCAAGTCCAATTTTTGTTTTTTGTTTTAGCTAGCAGTGATTTAAAATGTAACAATGTTTCAAAACTCTGTCTAAGAGTGTATAGAATTATGTATTCTCGATTGTAAGGATCATATTTTATAGTCAGGGACTGGAGTAGTCATGGAACTCATAACTCTGAAAATGTTGGAGCCTTTTCTCCCTTGCCAGAAAATCAGCTTCTTTCATTTGGCAGGGCGTGGCAGGCTAGACAAGAGACGGTAGATACAACAGTGCTAAGCACGGATGCCACACATTCACACTTGTCTCTTTGCAGGACATCGGTAACCATAATCTGCAGTTGGGAGGAAGCAAACATCCTTAGAAATGTGTTTGATGAGAATGTATTGAAAGTCAGAATTGGAGAAAACTCAGATAAGTGCCAAGATTTGTTTGAAGTTGGGTCTCAATGAATCCAGTTCATGGGTCCCGAGAACAAGTTTGACAATGCCATAAGAGAATCTAGACCAGACCGAGACCAAGGTGTTTCCTTGCTACACCTCACCAAGGGTTTCATTAGTTCCTGTGTGAGGGTAAACCGATGATAACAACTTTCTTCTTTAGTACCGTGCATGGAATTTGGTGTATATATGTTAAATAATTTATATGTTTATACATGTAGTCTTCATACGTTTTCTTTTCATAGTAACCAATTCTCAATGAAATTTTATTGTCTCTGTAGAATTCTGAATTTAAAAAAATGCTTTCAACTATTTTTGAAGAAACAGACATCTTGCCTACGTGGATTCCAGATGGCTGTTTTAGTCAAGATTCTAAGATTGACACGGTTGGTCTAGAAAACTTGCTCCTTGAGGCTAACTAATGTCTGGATTTGTGATATGGGACATACATGTGCTGATCATTCAACAGAGTGCCTAATGATCGTGTTTTAAATGCACAACACATGGTCAATTATTTCAGTGGCTGCTTTGGGCTCAGGTCATGATCTCAGGGTCCTGGGATCCAGTTCTGAGTCATAGTTTCTTGCTCATCAGGGAGTCTGCTTCTCGCTCTGCCTGCTGCTCCCCCCTGCTTGTGAGCCCTCACTCTCTCTGTCAAACAAATAAATAAAATCTTTTTAAAAAATAGATAAAAAATAAATGCACAACACATTATAAAATGAGCTCTGCCTCACCAGTCTCTGTTCACCATCTAGGACTCCCCTCATTAACTGGCTGAAGTTACCGTCACTTTATCAAGACAGATTTCCTTTTATGTTCCATAATATGCCCTCATATCATTACTTACAGTGGTTCCAGCTGGAGAGGCCCTAGGCTTGTCACCCAACTACATTTCTCACTCTGGGCTTTAGGAACACTTTGCTTGCATCTTAACCACCAACGACTTCCTGCAGTATTAGATCAATTACTTTCTATACATTAATTATGACAATTCTATTTAAGAATTGTTTAATAATAATTATGGTTATGCATTAACTTGGGAACTCTTTGGGGATTACTCTATTACATACTGAGTTCAGCTCTGATGCTTTTGTTTACTTTTTTCTTTAATTAGGAGAGATATCAAAATAAAAATTCATGGCCTTTCAGGATGGCTTCAGGATGAGTAAATATTCCCATTAACTCCAATAGTCCAAGGGATTGAAAGGCTTGGCGAAGTCTTAGAGAGGTAGCAGAAATGTCCTGGTTAAAATTCTGGCAATAGAGTCACAGAGTAGAGTTTGAACCCAGCTCTACCCCTCATCCATGATCCAGGGTAAGTGACATTTCTAAGCTTAGTTTCCTCACCTATAAAATCCTAGTAGCAGTACTCACCGTGGAGACTTTTTGAGGACTAGAAAAATACAGTTACTAAACTTAATTGGTGCTCCATAAATGGTACAAAATATATGTTATTGCTATTGCAATTCAGCAAAAATGCAAACCTGTTCATAGGAACACAAGCTACTAGTCCCAATCCTGCACTCAAACATTTAGATAATCAGTCTACTCCTGACGAGAAAATGATTCAGTGCTTCTCACAGAGCACTTATTTTATGAAAAAACCTGCGAACAATTTGCATGTCAAGTCTTGTGACTTGTAAGCAGAGCCCAATTGCTAATGACTGTTCCTGCAAGGCTGGGGAAGTCATACAAAGTCACCACACACGGAGATATTCACGCCACCACTGGAAAGCACTAGACCCTCAGGGTTGTTGGAAGACTGGTCTGGGGTAAAGAGTGGGGCAAAAACATGGCTTGTCTATTAGGAATGGATTCCTGGAAACATTATTGATTTCTTTCTTCATCCATTCAATTCTATTCTTGGGGAATGAGGGCTTCCGTTTTGAAGAAAAGCGTTTGCCCTCAGATGCCATCTGACTTCATTTTTGGCTCCTCTGGACTTCATGCCCAAGTGTACCTTACTTTGGGGTCTAGGAATCTATATATTCTCAAGGACAGTGTGAGGGGGAGGGCTATGTAAAAGCAAGATGTAAAATTACAGAATTTTGCAGCAGGCTATAGTTGCAAATACCATTCCTTTTACAGATAAGAAGCTGAGTCTCAGAGAGAGGGTAGTAATAAAGCGCATGGATTAAAAATCATGGAATTTCTAGCTACTAAACCTGAGTTAAAGCCAAAACTTCCATAAATCCTTTAATTTCTCCAAGTCTCAGTTTGTTTATCTGTAAAATAGGGGAAATAAATCTATGGTACTTACCTAATAGCCTTGCTGTGAGACTACATGTTCAAACACCTTACTGACCAAACTGTCTAGCATTGGTTGGATCAGTAATGTGTAGAACACCACCAACAATAACAATTTCACAAATACTCACATTAATTCCATATATAAAGCATTCGGAATATAGTGTAAATAAGGAAACATTAGCCATTATCATTATGTGTTAATTACCCAGGATCAATACATAGGTAGTGGCACACACATTTGTAGTCTTTTTTATATACAAAAAGATAGACCATCAGTCTTTTTTTATCCATGCTGGGATAAAGATTGTTAAATAACAGTCATATATCTTATGTGTATAGTGCACTTAAAATACATGATACAATATATTATCTCATATTATCATTACAGCCGTTTGTTAGGTAGGTAGGTAGAACCCATGTTAGCTCCCTCTGACTTATGACGTAACTCACTTGGAGATGTTAGCAGCCTTGCCTGAAACTCAAGGCTAGTTAATGAAGGAACACAGCCAGGTCCCTCTGGCTCCCAGACTAGCCCTTGTGCTTGACAAACATAGATTCCATGGGTGGCTTTCACAACGTTAGCTTTTGTCCTGACTCAGGAACCAGGATCTAGATGCTCAATTGATTTCATTTTAAAGGAACAAAGAAATCATCATCTCTAAGACTGAAACCAAAAGCCCTCGGTGATGAGAGATGTAAAGGGTAGGAAAAACATAAAGAAAATGAGTTGCAATTTATAACCCAAGTTAAACAAAAAGTTCCCCTAAATTTATATCCTCCTGTTTCCACATAATGAGTCAATTAATCTTCTAATGCTTTATAAAAGTAAAAAACACTGCAGTAGCAGCTGGTTTTAATGTTAAAGCTAATTAGGAAAACACATTAAGGTAGGAGAAGTGCTGAAGTTACATTTAGCTCAAGAGGAAAGAAGTATGTGCGTGTGTTTATATTATGGACACGTATAAAGAAGAAGATAAATTAAGCCTGGCTTGTATATCCTGCAGCCTGATTTCCTGGGAAGGCAGCTTTAAGAGAACAGAGAAATGGGTCACTGGTAGAAGCTGTTCTGACCAAGACAAGATATGGTTAAGGACTGTTTTTCACAGAACCACCAGGCTGACAATTCTGCCTGAATTTATGGATTTTTCTGCCTGAGCTGACTGAACACATAAGACATTTGGACACCATTTAGCCCCAGTCCATGATTGTCAGAAAAATTTCTTCATCGTGGGATGATTTGCCACCTGCCACTAAGTCGCACGTTTCAATTGCATCTTTAATAACCCCACAATGTAGCCTCAGGAAAAATAATTGCTTTTTAATAAAGCATTCCCACTCAAAATAAAATCTTAACATGTATCTCAAACAGATCAAAAGAAGTGGAAATTTAAGGTCAGTTTTATGTTTTTCTGGGGGACTGGGATGATCTAGGGGAGGGAGAATGAAGATTTAAGTGTTTTAAGGTAAGAGCAGAAAGTCCTCCCCCAGTCTTCTGTCCCAGTGTCTCTCAAATTGTAAAGTGGATTCAAATCACCTGGGGATCTTATTAAAATGCAGATTTTGATTCAGAAAGCCTGAGTGTGGGGCCTGAGCTTCTGTATTTTTAGCTAACTCCCAGGTGATTCTGCTGCCAGGCCTTGAACTACATTGAGTGATAAAGCCTTTCTAGAGTGCTTGTTTCAAGGTCCAAATTCAAGGACAGCCATTTTTCTCTCAATCTTTCTGGCTTTCAGTGGTCTCAAATAGACCCACAGAACCCTTTCTTCTACGATAGGAATTCATTTAATTGAGGAACCTAAAGTGACAGGAATTAAAGCGGTTTTATGTACTGGTGTTGAAGAGCGTACATCATTTTGAGCTTCTAATTGCTGTTCCGGGGAGGCCAGGTGCAAGCTATTTCTGTGCGACTGGCGCCCTCTAGTGCCTGAAAGGCCCGCGGCGGGGCAAGTTTATCTTCGTAACATTTTCTCCAGCTAAAGGTTGGTAGGAGAGACTTTAGAAACTTTTTATAGAATCATGGACACCAAGGAACAGAATTATTGCGTGATGGCTGTAGAGTACATGTTCCAAACTTTGGGCAAACTTTTGTTGTGGGAAAGAAACGGTCTGTTGGGAATGGCAGCTGAGGGCTCAGGCATTTTGGGGAGAATTCCAGTAAAGAAGACATGTCTGAGGAGCAGTGATGTTGAAGAAAATAAGATAAAGGAGCAGTCCTGGAAGTAAAGACAAACACATCTTTAAACCTGATTAATTGCGAGGCTTCTAAAAGCTTAAATTAATTTTAATAAGTGTTAGAAATACTCTGGAAAACCACAAAATGAAATGCCCCAAGATTTAATGTGATGCTGAGAATCTAATTCAGCAATTATCAAATGTGGTTCTCAGACCCGCTGTATCAGCATCACCCAGGAGTTGATTAGAAAAACATATTGTTGGCCCCACCCAGATCTGGGAATTGCCACCTGGGTGTGGGGGCGGGGCTCTGCAATCTGTTGTTAAGAACCCCTCTGTGACTTTGATTCTTGTTAATGTTTTAGTCAGGAACCTAATAAAATCAAAGCCAGACCCTCAGAATTACAACCCAATGGATTCCACGAAATTAAAAAACAACAAACATCCCTCAACATCACAACTCCCTGACCTGCTGTTTTATTTTACCTGCTAACAAGTGAGTTCTCTGAGGTACCCGCATGCCTGCTGCGCTTCCCTTGGTCATAACCACAAGAAAGCCAGTGCCACAGGTGTTACCTCACTCTGAAAACTTAAAGTATGAGTTGTTTATGAAAAAGCTGCACCTGTTCTATAGCTGAGTGGACACCCCCTCCCCCCCGCCTCATAATCACTTCTGCTATAGCCACACCTGATATTCTGGAAAGTTGTTAGCTTGGGAATGGTGGGAGTGGAGACTTAGGTCAATGACAGAAGTGTCAGGATGGATTTAGCAGTAAGGCGGAGAGTTCAGATTCACTGCTTGATTCCACCACATCCTGTGGATCTCTGGAAAACTTGGTACCCTCAGGGATATAGCTGGATTCACGTTAAGCAATCTGAGGGCAGGAAAGACTTTGTTCTGAGTATGTCCTTTTATGGACTCCTTAGGTCCTGTTTACCTGCCCTTGCATCTTGGGTGCACCACATATTGGTTTTTCCATGGCTTTGAGCAAATCTCCTAACCTCTCTACGCCCCAGTTCCCACACTGGAGTATTAGGGATCATGATAGTGCCTACTCACGAGGCACTGGGAAGGTGGAATAGGGCATTAATAGGCTCAGCCCAGTGCCTGACACTCCAACAATCTGGAAGGTGCTGGAAGTAATAAAAAGAAAAATCTGGACAGAGGTTTTCATAGGAAGCCATGGCATTTGGTGCGTTAGTCCTTTCACCAAAGCCAGGCACTCAAGCTCATAAAGTTATTCAATAAGATATTATGGCTATCATCACAGAATCCATTTTATAGGTTTTAATTGGAGAATAAGTTGCTGTATAGGCATGATCTACCCACTCACTATTTACCGAACACACACTATTTATAATTAGTAAATAGTGTGGATACATACTAGAGACATTTATCTATCTTTTTTGATCAATTTAAAATTTATCAATTTTTCTCATTCAAGAGAATATCATTGTAAGCTTTATTTCTTAATTGATGGTCTTGTGTTTTGGTCTTAATTGCTTCAATTTTCTACTTCATTTTCACAGTGCAAGGGATTGCGGCATAAGAGTTTTGTAAAGATAATACTTACCTCCAAATCCAGGTCTCATTGCAAAGTCGTGTTCCTCTATATGGAGAAGTTGCTTGTATTGCAGGAGCCATGCTTTGGTACTGTCATCTTTCCTCATTCTGGCTTCTTGTTTGTTATCCCTCCAAAAGGGGGAAAATACTTTTGAGATATACATGTTCTGGGTAATTTAATTTAGATTAGCCTTCTGCATTCAACTTGGTATCCTCTGAAATATAACCATTAAAGCTCATTTTCTCAGCTTATACTACACATAACTAAAGAGCTGACAACATTTACTCTTTATTTATATAATGGTGGGCAGGTAAGGTAACCCAAAATTTGGAGCAACTTAGGTGATCAAGTCTGGATGTAAAGCACTGGCAGGTAATGTTTCTCAGAATATAGGTTTTTAGACCAGGAAAACCTTGTCACTACCACCTTGGATTCATGCATCCCACCCCAGATCACTTAAACCAGAACCCGAGGAAACAGGGCCTAGGAATCGGCATTAAACATGTTACTTAAGTGATTCTTGGGGCCACCAAAGTCAAACAACTTCTGCACTAAGACACTAAAACAAAAACAAAGATAAAAACAAAACCAAAAAACACTGCAAAATTGTAAACTGATGAAAATAGTGTTTTACAAAGACAAGATAAGCAGAAAGTGTGCGTGCAAGTTGAGATTAGAGCAGAATGTCTGTAGGAGGTTCTAGAACCTGAGGGGTGGCAATGGGAATGGAGAGGAATCCAGAGCGAAAATGGATGGATTTGGCATTGTGCTTGTTTTTGTATTTGGATTGTACTTGATGTCTGGTACGGTTGTGAAGTAGGTGAAGTCAGTTTTCATCTACAGTTCTCTGGGGTAAAGGCAAAGTAGGGTGTGGCTTCTTGCGTGTCCTCCCTGCAACACTCCCTCCTCCCACCCCCAGAGTCTGAGCTGGGAGTTACTCTGTTACTCCCTGGGTCTGTGAACTTGGAAAAGTTGCTGAATCTCCTTGACTCATTTTTGGTCTTGTGATCCATACTTCGCAGTGGTTTGCTAAGTGTGGAGGCAGGATGTCTGCGGAAACACAGCTCCTCTGGAAGTGGAGCAATCCTCTTGTCCCAGGTGCTAGCAACTCTGCTCAGCTCCTCCCTGAGAAAGATGCCTGCCAACCTCACTGTCAGCAGCAGCAGCTGAAGCAATAACAAGCCAGACACCGAGGGGTCTACTAAGTGAATTTCAGTTACTCTGAATTCCTGATATGCTTTTGCATTCATAAATGTCTTCTCCAGAAAGCATGGTGAACTTTAATGGAAGACTTGTAGATGCAATTTCTTAGCTCAATAAAGTGCCTGTGATGGTGAGAATTTCACATCCTGAAACAGCTGGATGAAGAAATATGTCTAGGCTTATGGGCATCTATCACCATCCAGAATGGTTTTTCAATAGGAAAGTTTCCGGTACAGACCCTTAGAGATTTATTTTTGCCTTTGAGAGAAATGGGGGAAGTTGGAAGATGAAATCTGTCTTGGGTAGAAGACAATGAGTTTGATTCTATACATATGAAGTCATTATATCCTACAAATAACTGAATACATAGAACTATTTCTTCCAAGGATCTCAAATTAGTTAGAACATTTCTTTTCAGGAGCAAGAGTGAGCTATTTATTGAAAAAGTAATAGCAGCTAATATGTTTATTAAAAGCCTACTATGTTCAAGGTCTCATGCCAGGATATTTGATAAATATTATCTTCTTTGGCATGCATTTGAATCACCTGGTTTGCTGGGACCCATGCCCAGAGTTTGCATTTATAACAATTTTTTAGGAGAACCACTGGTCTGGAAAATAGTAGACATTTAATCAAAGCTAGCTAATTGTTACTATCTTAGGAAAAATGAAATGTGAATTTGGTGAAAACTCATGAAAATTTGTGAACTACTTTGGTAATATAATACAACTAAGTGGTCATCACTCATGTGTCTTTTCAGAGCATACATTTTCAGAAGCATCATGAGATTGGAAAGGATCAATCTTAATTAAGAATCCCAAGAACACTGAACACAGAGCCTCTTAAAAAGCCCACTCTTGGCTGTACCGAAAGGACACACACCTGTTCTTACCTCAAGGGCTCTTCTGATACACAGTGAGATGTCTCATACCTATTTATCTTTTACTTTATCTTTACCTTACCTATTTTGCAAAAAGGATTGTGTGGCTTATATACCCTCTAAAAGAATTTTGAAAACCTATGTACTCATACATTTAAAAAGAGGTCTATAATTTTCTCATTATAAAATTTAAATTTACTCAAATATCGACTAATATTGATAATTTAAAAGAAAACTCACATTCCTACCCTTAATGTATTCAATCACTCTATATATTCACATTATACATTTTAAAATACATGAAATGGGGTGCCTGGGTGGCTCCAGTTGATTAAGCATTTGCCTTTGGCTCAGGTCTTGATGCCAGCCCACACTGGGCTCATCAGGGAGTCTGTTGCTCCCTCTCCTCTCCACCCCCCACCACTTGTACTTGCTCTCGCTCTCTCAAATAAATAAAATCTTTAAAAAAATACACGAAACAAACTTCTCTTTAAAAATAAGAAATTTTCTATCATTCTTTGTTTTCTTTGAACTTGTATTTCCATTTTATTTTCTTCATAGAATTTTATCACCTCATATATTTCTTTGCAAGAATATATGCATTCACTTTAAAATGAACTCTTTTAGCATCTATGACTATTACAAATGAAGCAAAATATAATTCATATAAATGTTGATACTTATGAAAATTATGAACAAAATTTATTAGAAAGGTATTTCTTGATGAAATTATTGTATGTTTTCCCTAATTACATCATGTATATGGATATTACTCCTTGCTATAATGAAATCAGATCTAGCATAAATTATATTCCCATTCTTTACTTTATAGATGAAATTATTAAAAAAAACTTTTACATACATGAATTTTGAAGAAATTCTATTTCAACATTGTTTCAGCTATAAGTTAATTAAATTCTTTACTTTCCAAAACTCACATTGTGATCTATCATCAATAATTATTTCTAGTGATTTGTAACCTGACAAATTAATTAGGTTCTTCGATTTTATTGAAAACAAAGAAAAAAAAGTCACCTAGTTTGGAAGACCATGTGTTATTTACACTAGCGTCATGCACTACCAATCAACAATAATATTTATAATGATCTCTTTGTACCTAGGAAGATTTTATATTCAGGAAGAGGGAGAGGTATGCCTTTATTTTGCCAAATGAGACAGAGCCATCATGAAGGAGACTGCAGTCAAGTTTTCAGGTAGATTAATTCTAAGAAAGAGGTCAGAGGAAGTCAAAGATCCAGAAATTGATTGTTTTAAAACTATCTGTGCCCACATGCCCCTCTGATAGCTTGCATGTACCTTTAGGAGTATAGGTGTCCTGGCATGAAGACCCTGGCTTATAAAATAAGATATACATAAAAATTAATAAAGTGAAGACCAAAATAGGACAAAGGCAAGAGAAGCAAATATGCTTAATAAGGGGGTTAATATATGATGGAGCACCAGGTTTAGCTCAGAACTTTCTGGTCTAATTCTATATATATATATCTATATATCTATATATAGATATATATATATAGATATATCTATATATCACTTTAAACCACTTTGTGTCTCCTGCCCTCTCCCCTTTTCTAGAAAAAGTAAGTTCATTTTTAGGAGCTACTGAAAGAAGGTTTTTGGATAACATCTGTCTGAGAAGAGGGTCTTCTAAAAGGCTCAGTGCTGATAGGGTTGAGCAAAGAAATCTCATTTCACGGAAGAGTCTTACATGAGAACTCTCATTCTTTGTCTTTGCCCACAAAGTGTAACAAATACTGAGGAAGAGTAGGTGTAAGTCTTGTAATAGTCATCACTTTTCGCTTTGAGTTAGAATCTTTTCCTTCCTGGATGAAACAAAAGGAAACTTATTTCCATGCTCTCCCTCTTCTTGGTATCAGAAACTCTACTATAATTTTGTGATTAAGAAAGTGGGGGAAGAAAAGACTGGATTTTGAGTGGATTCAGAGAGATTAAGGGAGTCTTTGAGGAGGATATGTTATGCAAAGAATTAAAAAGTACTAGAGCCAGATGAGGAAAAATAAATACATCTAAGTCATTCTGAGGCATTGGGGTTAAATAAATGGAATGACAAAAACTCATTTTAATTGAGTCACTAACACTCAGCAGGTAATTTACAAAGCTGCTTTTCCAAGGGTCTATATATTTGATTAATTTGCTAGGATGAAACTAGTTGAAAACAAGTAAGCTGACATAAATAGACTATTTACCCAAGGAAGGATATAATTAACAAGCATACTAAAAAAAAAAAATGTCTAATCTAGGAGTGCCTGGGTGACTCATTCGGTTAAGCATCTGACTTTTGATTTCAGCTCAGGTCATGACCTCAGGGTCCTGGGATCTAGCCCAGTATCAGGCTCTGGTCTCACAGGGAGTCTGCTTGGATTGTCTCTCTCCCTCCCCTTCTGCCCCTCCTCCTGTGTGTGTGAGTGCACTCTCTCTCTCTCTCTCTACACTAAATAAACCTTTAAAAAATAAAAATAAAAAACATTTAATGTAGAGAGTTAACAGCAAGATATCAATTAAGAACAATACCATTTTATACCTATTAAATGAGCCCCAAACACAAAATCTCAGTAGCCAACCATGTTAAAACGATATGTTAAAATGATATGTTAAAATGATATGACAAAATGGAAACATTTACACTCTGTAGGTGACAGTGCAAATATTTGCAAAACCCTTTTAGAAATCAATTTCAAGGGCTATGAAGATAATTCATATGCTTTGACTCATAATTCATTTCCAGGAATTTCGTAATTTTTATTGGTACAGGGAAAACTACATGCATAAAAATATTTACTGCTGTGATTCACAACAGTGCAAAACTGAAAACAAATGTTCAATAATAATTGATCCTTTAGGGGCGCCTGGGTGGCTCAGTGGGTTAAAGCCTCTGCCTTCGGCTCGGGTCATGATCCCGGGGTCCTGGGATCAAGTCCCGCGTCGGGCATTCTGCTCATCAGGAAGCCAGCTTCCTCCTCTCTCTCTGCCTGTCTCTCTGCCTACTTGTGATCTCTCTCTCTGTCAAATAAATAAATAAAAATTAAAAAAAAAATTGATCCTTTAATTCAAAGTAATATTATGGAGTGATTAAAATTACCAACCATTATCATGTCCGTGAAACAATGTAGAAAGTGATTAAGTTAAAAAAATACAAAATAGTTTCTATACTATAATTTTAAACATGAAAAATCATGGAGCTATATGAATAAGGATTAGAACTTGGAAAAGGGAAAACATAATTGAGATTCTTTTTGTTGTTTCCATGTAAAATTCCGTTATTGAATTTGTGTAATAAATGCTTTATAAATTATCTGGAACAAGTTGAACTTGCCATCTTGGATCTTTTCCAAAGAAGGATTCAGGCACCACTCTCCACCTTATCATTCCATTCTCCTTGTCATTCCAGAAGCATGTCCTGCTGCTTAACATGGAGTTTTTTTTTTGTTTGTTTGTTTGTTTTTTCTCTCTCACTGGAGCTCTGTTACGAACCAATACACCAAAGGAATCCAGTAGTCTCAAATAATGTGTAGGCAACATTTAAAAAACTCCTTGCATAAATTTATTATTTTCCTTTTAAAAATATAAATGAAGCAAAAATGTCCTATTGGGCTACATAGATGCAAATCCATGAATGCAATAAAGTAGGAACATTAGGTGATCCAGTTTTTGATCACTAGGACCACCTTCATACTTCTGGATCTGATGCTTATATCTAGGTCCCTGAGGCTTTTGCACTTTCTTAGGGAGGATATAGTGCATTTTATAGAGCAAATCTTGTGGCTTTGACTGAGCTGTTCTTGAATTCTCCAATTCTGGGAAGACATACCTGACTTTAGTCAACATACCGTCTCTTATAAAGGAAAAAAATCCATACAGAGAAACATTTCTGTGGAGGAGCCACCGAGAGAGAAGGCCCCATTTGAGACACGACAGTTTCTATATCTTACTTGGGTCTCTATCTAATCATGAGCTCTTGTGATAAGACCTCAGTTTCCCTATTTGTGAAATAAGCAAATTAGACCAGTTTAAGAGCTGGTCTGCAGGTATTTTTTTTTGCATAGCCCATATGTTACATTAAATTGGAAAATTTCACATGAAAATCTTACTTTCCTGCATCTTTTACAAAATCAAAGAATCTGGCAACACCGGGGTCAAGTTTTCTTGCAACAAGAAAAGGCTGGACATGACCAGCTATGGGCTTCAGAGGAGCACTCTGTCTGTAGTTGGCCCAACCTCTACCACTGCCTTCTGTCTTCCTTGCAGGAGCACTTCCATTTGACATCCCTAGGACCATCCCTTTATGTTAGATTCACAGATGTGCTGGTAAATGTTTAGCAAGTTGTTCTCCGGGAGTACAAAAACAAAAACAAAAACAAAAACCCAGCCCTATTTGTAGTGTTTGCTGATTTCCATAATGTCAATACTTCCATGTGGCTGATTTCAAGGTACTGACATGACAGAGATGTGCATACGGCATAGTGTAGTGCTATAAAATATAACATAATATAATGTAATTTAACATGATTTAATGTAATAGATAGGATATCTATCTTACAGACAGGATAGATGTAAATAACTGAAAGAATGAGGAAATAGTAAAATATAGTAAAGGAATAAGGAAGTGGTGAGTTTTAAGTATTTATTACCTTTTTTTTTTTTTTTTAAAGATTTCACTTATTTACTTGACAGAGAGAGAGAAAGAACAAGCAGGGGGAGCAGCAGGCAGAGGGAGAGGGAGAAGCAGGTTCCCCACTGGGCAGAGAGCCTAATGTGGGGCTCAGTCCCAGGACCCTGAGATCATGACCTGAGCAGCCGCTTAACCCACTGAGCCACCCAGGTGCCCCTTATTACCTTTTTAAGAACTAATTATTTAATTGTATGTTTATAAATTATACACATAGTTTAATTTTTAATGATGTTTATTTTCAACAGCTAGCAAACAGATTTCTTGGAAATGGTAACACTTGGCTCTTGCAAGCCAATATAGGCTGACTCTGCACTCTACTCACTATTCTTGAGGCCAGAGACACTGCATCTTTCCCCTAGCATCCTTAATCCCCGACTGGCACTTGGCATATAAAAGGGCACTCAATACAACTGTTGGAAGAATGAATAAATATTCAATGAGTCTATATGCCTAATCCTCTTTGTATCACCAGGGAGCCAAATCTCTTCCCTAGGTAAAACAGGGACATTTATCACCAGCCAAAATTTACTTTATTCGCCAATTCCCCTTCTCTTCCTGTTTTGTTTTTAAGAAACAAAAGGTATCTTTAGGTAAACAATTTTCACAATATTTGGATAAAAAGAGGAATATTTGGGTAAAGAGTAAGATGATATTCTGAAAGAAAATAATTAATAGCAAAGCATTTAAGGGACTGATTGTATGAAAACCAGCTCAAAATAATACACAGGAATGCCAGGTTATGTAAATACATCCACTTCATAGTTTTTAAAGAAAGATCATGCCTTTCTTCAATGTTCATTCTATTAGTTCTCTTGTGTTATAAAAGAATGGATTATTAATTAACTAATTCATTACTTACTTAGTTACTGATAATCAGATTGGGTGAGGGGCAAAGAACCTCACAGTATTTTTTCACATACTAAGGTCTGAAGAATCCTGGGCTCCTTACTCCAGAAACTACCCTAATAGAGTAACTTCTGTGTTTTTGTCAAAAATGCCTTCAAATCTGCATGAGAGACTGGCAAGTGACAGCTCAGAAATTGGCTGGCTGGATTACTCGGTTCACTCAGGGAAAATGATGGCTTTCGTTCTAAGTGGCTACTTTTGAACCATGGTTGATGGTTTATTCAATCTATATTGCCCGAGAGGATTTTTCTCTGAAGAACAAAAGACACTAATAGAAATTTCAATGAGTTATATTCTAGCTTGTTGCTGAAAAGGGTACCTCACTTAGGATATGGAGAAGTGAAAACAGACATGTTTGGCCCCGAGAAGCAGACACCCTGAGATTCCCTCTTCATTTAAATATAGATAACAAGGAGACCTCCAATATAAGAACAAAAAAATTCGCACCTCACCACAAAGAACTGACGTTCTCCTCTTGCCTCTTAAAGAACACCTAAAAGACCACACATAGTAGATGTTTCTGCAGCAACTCTGCCATTCATAGTGGGTCTGTGTGATGGGTTGGCTCCTATGACAATCTCTCTTTTCCTCAGTCTGGTGGTGTAACCTTATGCTCCCCAAATATTGCTTGCCTAACTGCCTTGAAGAAGACTCAGAAAGTGGCTAAACTGGACAAAACTTCATATTATCTCAGATCCGAGTGTGGGAAAAAAAGCATGGAAAAAGAGTGTGAAAGATGGCCCTTGATTTTTAAGAGCAGAGCAGAAATCAGGAGTCTAGTAAATTTTTCCTGCCTACCCCCTTAGCTCCCCGCCGCTTCCTTTGTTTCTGGTCATCAAACCTGAGGCTTCACAAGGATTTATTAAAATTTCATGTTCATTTTCCTGATCTTATTGGGAGTGCCTCATAAATATTCAAGATGAGAGGGCAATCTGGCTGAAACAGCTGTCACCTCATTCATTGCCAAGGTTGGCTGGGTGATGTAACTCACCTAAATTCCTCAATTTCCCCTCCTGGGTATTTTTCAAAGTATTGCGCTTGGTGAAAAGGAGAGACTTCCCTCAAGGCAAGAAGTCACTTTTTGGCTATTAAAGGCACTTGCGTGGGAGGGTGACTAACCATTCCTTTTGCCTGGGACCCCTAGTACTAAAACCCATGGGTGAAGCAGGATGAACACTCTACCAGCTCATGTGCCTTTGCTAACGTGTGCGCACATGCTCTCAATTATTCATGATAAGATAATAATGATAATATATTGACATTCAGGGTAATATTTCAGAGGTACGAAAACTCACCTTGGAAGGCAACAAATGGCTTTAATGCTTTCCATTACTATGTTATCGATATATGGAACTATCTACTCTTGAAGTCCTTGACATTAGAAGTTGTTGCTTAGACCAATATCTACTCAAACAAATTTGGGGAAACTTTCAACTTGTGTCATTATCAGTAGTAATAAATGCATTATTCATTGAAGAAATACATTCCCTGAAAGAAGATCTCTATGCAAGCCCTTGTTTTCTTCAAAAATAAGCATACAATTGCCAGAGAGAGACCCAGGCTTCTGCTCTTCCTGATGCTACCCAGAAGTGATTTATTTTGATGGGTGAATGCTATCTCTAGAGACAGTCACCCACAAATGTGTGATACCTGTGGAGATTTGTTTCTAGGTTTCCCATAGGTCTGAGGCAGCTGGTGCAGGAGGGCAATGACTGAGGAGAGGATATACTATGACTCTCTTACCGGGATCTTTTCACTGAAGAGGAGCACTGCGGGTGGGACTTCGTGATTTCAGAAGCATCACAATTATCCGGCATCAGTGCAATCCAGATGCTGGTGAATAAGACCAACGGGGAAGCCAGGATCATCTCTTCCGAAAGAAAGGAATGTAGATGGATGCTGCCAATATTGCGATCCGTAGTGCTTCTTCATGCGTCTCTTTAAAAGGAAATAGAGTGCCAAGTAAAAGGAAAAGGAAATAGAGGGCAAAGTAAAGGTATCAAGGAAAAGGGAGAGGCATTGCCTTCAATGCGGTGTCTTTTGTTTTAGTAGATTAAATAGGTTCACATCACTTATAGGCAAACATCTGTCTGGCTCATCTGCAGTTTAGGGAGAACAAAGCAGATCTTTTCATTTTCAGTTTCCATCCTTTAGTTCCTCTTTCCAGGAAAGGTTCTTAGTGGGATGCCTGATCCCCTACTCAATGAACCCTCAGCCGCAGTCCTCAGCAGACAAAGAAGAGAGGTTAGGCATTAAATCCCCTTAATCCAACACAATATCATTTGAATATATTTAATGATCCAGCAAAATAATATGCTTAAAAAGAACAAAGATGATTAATTTAATTTTAATTATTCATTTGAAGACCTTTTTTCTCATGGCTCCCTTTTAACCAGAAATTAATCTTTCTCTCCCTAAATGCATACAGATTGCCATAGCGCATACAAAAAATAAATTATTATTTTTGTTGGGCAAATAATCATATTTTAAGATGATTGTGTATTCCGTTGAAAGCATAAGTGGTTCAATTTAAGATTTAATATGTTAAGCAGCCTGATAAATAAGAAAGAAATTAGACTTGGGCCATGTGTAAGGAACACTGTCACTGTTAAATTGTGATCATACACATTCCTAAAAGTTCTCTGCACCCAAAGAGTAGAAATATTCCCTGGAAACATTTCCTCTATGTATGCAAAGGTCCAAAGAATGAGTATGTCAGTGAAATTAAATTTCTCCAACAGGAATATCACAAAGTGAGCAGATAGCAATAGCTGACCTGTTTACCAGAATTGAGGAAGAATACCATTTTCTTCTCAGAGCTGGAGTTGAAGGAAATTCTTAAATTTCCTGGAATTGTTTTGTCTCCTTGACACCTTATATCCTATGTTATTGCTTTGGCACATTAATTTATTTTTACTTAGGTTACATCTTCTCTTAGCCAATGTCATAAAACCTTCTTGTAAGCTTCTTAGCCATGCCTTTTCTCTTGAAAATATGTGCTTAATACAAAATATTTCCAAACCTTTTGTATGTTTCAGAAACTTTAAAAAAATGGTCACCTGTTATACTGTTACTTCTGCAACCTACTTTTTCTCTTAACATTTTGCTTAGAGATTTATTATGCTGATAGATGTAACTCTAGTTAAGTCACTTTTTAATTGCTATATGGCATTTCAGTGTGTGTGAATAACTAACATTTAACTTATTCTTTTATTGGCAGACATTATTTCTTTTGCTATCATAAACTATCTATTATAAACGATTCTGCAGTGAATATTTGTAAATATTTCCTTGTGCACACGTGTATGAGTTTCTAGGTATGTAGGGTACATACCTAGAAGTAAAACTGGGAGGCTGAACAATTTTCACACCTTCAAATTTACTGGATACTACTATATTGCTCATAAAACCCATATATCAATTCACACCCTGACCCCCGAAACACGAGAGTCCTCATTTTTAAAAATCTTATTTTAAGCTTGGTATTATCAGGTTTTTAAATATTACCTAATCCAATGGTTGTTGTAGTTTTTCTTTTGTTGTTGTTGTTTTTTGTTTTTGTTTCAATCTGACAGAGACACAGCGAGAGAGGGAACACAAGCTGGGGGGTGGGAGAGGGAGAAGCAGGCTTCCCTCTGAGCAGGGATGTGGATGTGGGACTCAATCCCAGGACCCCTTGTGGGGGCTTGATCCTAGGACCCCGATTTGGGGCTTAATCCCAGGACCTGGGGGATCATGACCTGAGCAGAAGGCAGCTGGTTGAGGACTAAGCCACCCAGGCACCCCGCGGCTGTAGTTTTAATTTTAATTTCCCTACTGGCTAGAGAAGTGTCAACCTTAGAAATAAACTGTCTGTTATTTTACTGTCAGACACAGGTTTATTCCAGAACAGGGAGAGAATTGCAGTCCGGGACAAGCAAACCCCAGCAAGGTATCTGCAAGTCCGTAGAAAAAGGGGACGAACTCACCTTTGTGGAGGAAAGGGGAACGTTGGGAGGGGCTGTTATGAACAGTCCACTGGAATCAACTGAGAATTCGAAGTGTAGGGGCTTCTCATTGCCAGAGTTGTGACAGTCTCTCATTGGCCAGCGACAAGTGAGCCTGTCTTCCTCCCACGGGGATATTCCAGCAGGATCCTCTGGTATGGTTTCTCTCTTCCTATTGGGTCCGCCGTTGACAAGGACTGGTTGGCGTGGGAACGCCCCCTGCTGGCCTGGGGATTCCATTCACCAGACGGTTTCCTTTCACTCCTTTTCTTTTGTCAGCATTTTTCTCATGTATTTCTGGGCCACTAAGCTTTCCTCTTCTGCAAAGAGCCTGTCAACAGAAGACATGCCAGAAGAGTTGTCGGTCTTAAACTACTGTCACTTTGGCTGCTGGAGGACCTCCTTGTGGTCACAGTTTGTTCTGCCCCTCAGTGCTCTGGAGGGAGGCAGGACCTGACCCCTTGAGCCTACCACTCTATGCTACATAGGTCTGTTCTCTTCACTTAGTACCATTATCTGCACCAGTATTTCCCAAAGTAGTTCATGGCTACACGAGATATTTTGTGAAAAATTGGTTTGTGCTAGGTGAGTTTGGGAAATAGATTTTTACTACCCTTTCAGGGATTTATAGTTCACATTACACGGTACAGTGGAAGTATTCCTGTCCTATAACAACTTGGAGGTTGTTCGTTCCATGGTCCCTAGTCTCAGTCCTTATCTTGTTTGGTCTATTAGAAGTATTGACGCACCTGATCTCCCTCCTATTTGAAACGTTTTCTTCACCTGCTTTCTGGAATTCTGTACTCTCCTGTTTTCCTCTCTGGTCATTCTTCTGTAGTCCTGTTACCTGATTCTCTCTCCTGCATCAGACTGCCTAATATTGGAAAGGTGCCACCCTCAGTACCCCAGTACTGTAGCACTGGTCTTTCCTGTTAACTCACTTCTTTAGGGATCTCATCCAGTCCCAAGGCTTTAAAAACCATACCAACAACTCCCCAATTTTTATCATTGGTCTTTCTTCCAAAATTCCATCTCATATTGCTATGGTCTCGGTGTTTGTGGCCCCCAAAATTCATATGTTAAAATCCTAACCCCCAAAGGTGATGGTTTTAGTAAGTGGGTCCTTTGGGAGGTAATTAGGTCATGAGGATGAAGCCCTCCAAAAAATGGGATTAGTGGCCTTATTAAAGTGACACCAGAGAGATCCTCACCCCTTCTACCATGTGAGTGTACAATGAAAAATCTGCAACCCAGGATACTCTCATCTGACCACACCAGCACCCTGATCTCGAACTTTCAGCTTCCGGAACTGTGAGAAACAAATTTCTGTCATTTATCAGTCACCCCATTGATGTTACAGCAGCCTGAATGGACTAAGACACACATCCAACTGCCTGCTTAATATTTTTACTTGGATGTCTGATAAGTATCTTAAGTTTAACATGTCCAAAAGTGAGCTCATTAATATTTCTGTTCTGATTCACCTACAACTTTCTCTATCTCAACTTATAACAATACTGTCCTTTCTTGACTCCTCTCCCACACTCCATGTCCAATCCACCTTAAAAATACATCCAGGACCCGAATGCTTCTCACTACCACCTCAGCCACTTCTCTGGTCTTCAGTCACCATCTTGCTTGAATTTTTACAACAGTGACCTAAGTGGTCTGCTTGCTTCTTCCCTTGCTCTGTTTCATTTAATTCATGACAACCAGTGATTCTTTCAAAATAAAGATCAAGTAAAGTCACTTCTCTCTTCCCAATTGGAATGGCTTCCCCTTTTTCTCAATTTACAGAGTCTTTACAATGGCTAGGAAAGCACCACATAATCTACAACTCCCTCTTCCTCTTTGCTTCTCTGACTCCTACTGTTCCTTCCCTTCCCATCAGCTGTTCTGCAAACACAGACCTCTGTTGTTCCTTGAACATTAGCAAGAATGTTGCCACCTCAGGAAACTGAGATGGAAATAGGTTGTTACACTTGCCTGACTGACACACTCTTTATCCAGGTATCCAGGTAACTCCTTATCTTTGCTCAAATGTCATTTACTCAATGGAACGTACCCTGACCACTCTTCAAAAAAAAAAAAATGTAGTACGTTCCCTTTCTTCCAACAACCCGTGCTACAGTTGACCTTTTATGGCCTTAGCATGTTTTATACAGCTTAATTGTTATGTTTATTGTTTGTTTTCTGTCTAACCTTGCTAGAATGTAAGCTGTACAAGAGAGCAATCTTTCTTTGTACCTTGGAGTATTCCAAACACAACGATTTTTGGGAAATAGTTTGTGTTTAATAAATATTTGTTGAATGATTATTAGCACATCAAAAGCCTTATTAAAAGAGCTTGTTAAGTTTTCCTGAATTCTGTTTCCCAAACTTGGTTGGCCTCAGATCTCCTTTAAAAAAAAATCTAATGTAACCGTCCCTCAGAACAACGTACTGCTTAAAATATAACTTATGAGAAATTATACTAGTTACCAAGCATACTTAGATATAGCCTTAAGAAAAACATGTACTGGCAACAGGCCTCTGGGGGAGAGGACAATATACATCCTTGAAACCGAGCAGTTGGGAATGCCCAGCTCACTCAGGGCAGAATGCTGCCTGCTTCCTTTTTCTGTTATCTCCCCTTCCCCAGAGAGCATCAGCAGTTAGTCAGACAATCCTTTCATTTGAGCTTGCTCACTGTAGGTCATGTACTACATGACCAGACATGTTTTGCCTTTCTTCTTACATATGTACAAGACCAGGTACCATGAGGTCAATGTGTAATCTACTCTGGCTTTGTTGATTATTACTCACTTTCTAGTAACTATGAGACTGAGGAGTTGTTCGGGATGACAGTCTTTTCTACTGTTGTCCCCTGTTCCCATTCTCTT